GGAGGGTGCAGGAGTCAGGACATAGGGCTGGGAATATGGGGAGAGGCTCAGGACAGAGAGTAGGGAATGCAGGAGTCAGGGCAGGTGACTGGGAGTGGGGAGCAAATGTGGGGAAAGCGCTTTGGGGCTAGATTACCTTATGTGGCTGGTGGATGGGTCCCTGCCCCAATGCCCGTTTGCTGCCACAGCAGAGGGCTGTGTGGGGTCACTGCTGCAGAGAAACTGGCAGCGTGCGAGAGGCCCTTTGGCCTGCCATTCCCTTTCCCTTGGCTTCTTCCCAGGAGCCGTTGGCAAGTGCTCATGCTATGGAGAGCACGTGCGCTGCCTGGCATCCACTGAGGGGGCAGCAGGACAGGTGCAGATGCACCAGTAGCCCGGCTGGGAGTGCGCACGCCTCCCCTACGGAGCACCCTCAGCTGGCCCTTGTACTCTGCCTGTCTCACCTGGCTGTGTGCGTTGGGTCACCAGCACAGCCTGCAGCAGGAGCCCGGCTGGGAGAGCGCACTGCAAGCTGTGCTGCCCGCCAGCCAGCTCTCGCCAGAGCAGAACTCTGTGGCGCACCACCTTGCTTCCACCGCTGACTGAGTACGTGTACGAGTGTCCTAAGAAAAGGCATATGGCACTTTCAGCAGCACAAGCTAGCTGTCTGAGTATTGAAGGTCTTGGATGGGATTGTCTTCAGGTAGCTAATCTGTGCCACCATGCCTGATATTTTTAATCCACTGGATCTATCACAGCTAGTGTGGGTAGAACTACCCACACATGGGACTACGCTTCCTAGATGCGATGTAGAAATACCCTCAGATATATTCTCACCATTTCCCCAGAGGGCATGAGCTTTTGCTTGGCCTCTGCCCTGCTGTGTGTTTTCCTGCAGACTGATGGTTAAGTGTCAGGAGGAGTATGGTGAAAGACCCCTTTGATTGTAGACTTCTGCATTGAGCTGATCAGGTTTTACCCTCAGATTGCTCACCGTTATGAGACTTTCTGCATTTACAAAGATGGTGGAAGGAAGGAGGCAGCCCCTATCAAAGCTGAGAACACCACATGACTAACCACAGCCACTGCCTGAGTTAAGTGTAACTTCTGGTTTTATTAGTGAACCCTCCCCTATCACTTTGTGTAACTCTGTTAAGTAGATGGGATAGCTTCTTTTCTAGAGGCAAAAGATCATTTAATGAAATGGAAACTGCAGATTGTTGCAGGAAAATCCAGATGCAAGGGACCCAATTAAAACTCTATAGGCAGCTGTCAAAACAATGTTTACAGACTAATTCTGACTCCAAAGGAAAATAAAACTCTCTTTAAGTACCAATTATCTGAGGGCATGTCTACACTACATTCCTCTTTCGAGAGAGGAATGCAAATGCAGCTGAGCAAAATTGCAAATGAAGCGCAGAGTTGAATTTCCTGTGCTTCATTTGTATAATTGCATCAGGGCGCTATTTCAAAATACCCTATTTTCAAAAAAAGAAACGCTGTCTAGACATGGTTATTGTGAAAGAAAACCCTTCTTTTGAAATTACCCTTACTCCTTATAAAATGAGGCTTAAGGGTAATTTCAAAAGAAGGGTTTTCTTTCAAAATAACCACGTGTAGACTGCGTTTCTTTTTTTGAAATAGCGTCCGGATGCGATTATGCAAATGAAGCGTGGGAAATTCAAATCTGCTCTTCATTTGCAATTTCGCTCAGCTGCATTTGCATTCTCAAAAGAGGAATGCAGTGTAGACATACCCTGAGTTTTGAGAATTTCTAAACTCCTCAGAACATGCATCCAAATTACTTTGTGGATGCCTTAATCTTCACAGAGGGACATTTTCCCTTTTGTTAATGAAGGAACTTTTTTTTGCTTGACAAATGGAAAACGTTGCCACCTGTGAGATGATTATATTGGGTTGTTAAGTGGACTCTTAGTCTGTGGCTGAGATTTTTAGAAATTCTGGCTTCAGGCCAGCTCTCAAGAGGAAAACTCTTAATGTTTGTTTTTTCCTGTAACCGAGATTGGATCCGTAGATTATTTTGACAGTGCCACAACAAATTGTTTTATGGAGGAAAAGTGCTCATGTTTCCTCGATCTCTGGAGCCACTGAAGCAGAAGATTGTGATTCTTGTTATGTGAACAAGATGTTCTTGATGTTGATGCTGTATTTTCTCCCATGTATGCGTCCATCTGTGGGGTACATGGGCGTGCTTCCATGTTATTTATTTATTTTTTAGCATGGATAAATTAGCCTTCTCTTTTAAGAGGAGCACTAATCTAATGCAGCTTGAGCCTGTATCAAATCATTACTATTACAGATTTGGATCCAATTCCTGAGCTTACTTTATATAAGCTAGAGCGGAATTAATTATTTGCTTGTTGAGATGCATATTGAGAATGAAGAATTTGTTCCTTGAACCTTGTATCACAGAAAGAACTCAGAGTGGTGGTTGATGCAAGGAGAGATTTTGACCCAGATGCTCATCACACCTTAATTGAATTTATATTCAGACGCTTCAGGGAATGGAAGATTCTATAGTCTGGTAGTTGAGGCACTCACCTAGAATGCAGGTGATGAAAATTCAGCCCCCTACACCTCAGTGCTTATTTATGCAAAGTGGAACAGCTTGAACAGGAGAGACTGTGATATGAGAGCCTTCCCTCCACCCTTCATATCAGAAGATTGCATAGCTCAGTGGTTAGGGCACATGCCTGAGAGGCAGGAGATGCCTATTCATATTCCTGTGTCAGATCAAGGAGAGGGAGTCAACCAGACCCTAGGTCTCTCACAGCCCATGTGAGTGTCCAAACCATTGGATTAAAGGTAGTTTGGGAGGCCTCTGCCACCTCCTTTTCTCCCCAGCTATTTTGTGAATCTGCCGTGGATTTTGCCTAGTGTCTTTAATAATAATAAAAAACCTCTGGGTCAAAACAAAATGTTTCCTGCGGACATTGCTGAAAAGTTTTGATTTTTCAGTTTGGTCAAAACGCTTTGGCAAAACTTGAAATACATTTGTGAAGTTTTGGGTGGACTGAAACTGAATTTTTTGTTGGCTAAGCTATTTGCTAATAATAATAATAATAATCACCCAACACCATGACTAATCACCAGTGTGTGTCCCACTGCTGGCACATCTTCTGGGGCCTGCTGCAATCAGCCTGACAATGAAGTCAGTCTTTCTGTCTATACTGGGTTCTGAGTCTTTGCCTCTTCTTCCCTCTTATCAGTTATCCGGGCTCTACCCTGTATTGTAACATGGGGTGCTCAAACCTACAGTTTTTTATTGAAATAGGGGCTGTGTGTATGTGTATGTTGAACAGAATAGCTTTGAGCTTTCCCATGCAAAACAGAGAAAAGAATTTAGATATAAGACAGGGTAAAAGGTTCCTGAAGTCAGACTGCCAGATAAGGAGGAATATTAGGTAAAGAGGCTGGGTTTGTGCTGAAATAAAACACTGTTCTAGATTTGTGTAGCTCTCCTGCAATCCCGGATACATCTACATTGTAGTTTTATACAGCCCCACAGCTCGAGCCTCACAGGCCTGAGAAAGTTTCGGGAGTTTTGTTGTAGTGCAGACATATCCTCAGAGATCTTATTCGAGTGAACTAGTGCAGACCCTTATAAAATGCCTTTTCTGTTTAGTCAAATTTTATTACAAATTACATATATTTGGAACATCGATAGAAAAGCAAGTACATAATCTATTTACAATTGCTACATATTTACATATAATATATACAGATGGTGAATTTAGTAAAATATATGAGCAGAAAATAGAAAATATAGCAAATATCTGTATGAAACTGTACATGGCTTATTCTCATGCCCTTTAAGTGTGGCTGTATTTTACTGTAGCAATAAATACAGTTCTATATTTACAAATTTTATTTAAAAATGAATTTTAATAATTTCAAGTTAAAATATCTGATCAAAATATTTAAAAAATTGCTTATAAAAATAAAAGACCCATAGTAGCCTTTTGGTTTGGATAATCTGCAAATTCTATAAATTTTTCTTTAACAAGTCTTTAGAATTGTAACATTATTTTGCTTCTCAAATCATTTTCAAAACTTCTTCAATATAGCAAGCTGAGGAGAAATTTTACTGACATTAAACAGTGCAGCACAGATGGACCTCAGTAAAAATAAAGCTAAATAAACATGCTAATAAGCATTGTGCAGTGGTAGACTGATACTCTGTTTAATCCATAGTGGTTTTGGGGATCATTCTCCAGCTGTATGCTGGGCTGCTTCAAAAGCCACAAGAGATAGAGGATTAAGATAACCATGCAGTCGGCTATACCAGACATAATTTCTGCATTTGTTCATTTTTTTCCAGGATGCACATGTCAGCCAAAGTCAACTGATGCCATCTGTAACTTCAAAACTAAACGATTTTTTTTCTTCACACTGGCATTTCTAGGCATGTCAACAGCTGGCAACAGATTTTCATTGTGAAAATCCATTCTTTGGATGCCAGGGAGTTACATACGTAACACATGAAAATAAAAGACCCCCTATAATTGATCTTCTTGATTATTTGGGTCCATCTAAGCTAGGTAATATTGTCCAAATGCAGTTTTATCCACATGGAGAGTGATGTGGCCTTTAAACTAAGAGGCAGGTACTGCACCATTAAACATTGTTGCTCAGGGAACATTTAAACATGCATAACAATGTCCTATTTGATCTGCTCATGAAAGAAAAAGTGACATCTATGGGAAAATGAGATTGAAAGAACTCCCAAACATAGTTATGTCAAGGTAAGCGCTAGTCTCAAAAGGAAATAATCGAAGTCCATTGCCTGGGAATCTTTAAAGCAGAGAGGGCAAAATATCAGGGGGCTTTCCTTTCTAAGGGCACGTCTACACAGCAGGGCAAAACTCGAATTAAGCTACGCAACTTCAGCTATGTCAGTTGTGTAGCTGAAGTCGAAATAGCTTAATTCAGCTTTTGGCGCTGTCTACGCAGCAGGAAGTTGAAGGAAGGACACTCTTCCTGTGACTTCTCTTACTCCTTGTGAAATGAGGGTTATAGGAGATGGAGTAAGAAGTCCTCCTGCTCGCCATTATTTCGAAATAACTGCTTGTAGTGTAGACACACACTATGTTATTTCAGAATAGCGTCAGTTATTCCAAAATAATGCTGCTGTGTAGACATAGTCTAATTGTCAAGGTTCTGAGAGACATAATTTTATAGGCCTTGATTCAGCAAGGGATTCATAGAGTCACAGAACTTAAGAATAGATGATCACAATGGTCCCTTCTCGTCTGACCTATATAGCGCTAGTGACAAAACTTCCTGAATTAATTCCAGCTTCAAGTACAATAACTGTATTGAACTTGGCCATCTCTTTTAGCACATCTTCCACTCTTGATTTAATGATTTCCATTGATGAAGAATTCGCCACAACTCTTAGTAAATTTTCAACATTCTTTTTGAATTGGACACAGTATTTCAGTAGCGATCACATCAGTGCCAAATCCAAAAGCAGTAAAACGTCTCTACTCCTACTTGATACTCCCTTATTTATATAGGTTGGACCTCCCAAAACCGCGACTCCCTCATCTGGCAACAGCCATGGTCCAGCAGGACCCATAGGTGTTCCTGGACCAGGAAGTCCTGTCTGGAAGCTCCACTGGCAGGGCTGGGGATGTGGCAGCCACAGCAGCCCTGACAGTGGGGCCAGGGATATGGCAGCCTCGATTGTGGGGCTGGGCAGTCCAGGTTGTTGGGGCTGCAGCAACATGGCAGCTCAACGAGGGGGCGGCTGGGTCAGCAGCGGGGAGGGAAGGTGGTCTGAGGAACCAACAGCAGAGGACCTCCTCTGGTCCAGCAAATTCCCTCGTTCAGGACCGGTCAGGGTGCCAGACCAGAGAGGTCCAACCTGTATATGCACATACAGATTTTTGTAATGGTTCTAGTTTTGTAATCAAAATTGGTGTAGTACAAAGTCAAATGCCTTACAAGAGTAAATATATTACATCAACACTATTGTCATTATCAACCAACTTGCATACTCATTAAAATGGCATCAAATTGCTTTGACAAGATCTATTTTTTAAATTATATTAGACTTTAATGGGATTGGTTATGTGCTTCAAGCCAGGCAAATGTTTAAATACGTTGCTGAATCAAAGCCATAGATGGGCACATTTAAAAAACAATCACAGCATAAAAAAAGCACTAATGGACCTTGACCAACCCCATCTTGGGAACAATCTGTTCTTAACATTTTAAACTCTAACTCAATGAGCTCAATTAAAACAATGGCAATGCCTCCAAGAAAATATATTATTTTTGCTCTTGACTGACAGATGCCTTTTCTGAAGGGCATGTAAGAGAACAACCAAGCTGACTATATATATCCTAGCAGCTTTCAGGCTTCCTCTTCATCCCAAACAAAACTGGTTTTAAGATTTCCTAAGCAGGCTGACAGGCTTCATATTTTGGGATTTCAGCTTGCTGCTTGTTTTCTTTAAGTTTTTTTTAAGTGTGTGTAACAATAATCAAGAGCACTTTTGATTCTACTCTCCAGCACACGTACACACACTTACCTTACATTTGGGATTGAAAAATCTGTAAACATACATACATTTATTTTTGCCCCTGAAACTAGTGACACGGAACAAAAGCTACCGATGAAAGATTACAGCTTTCTGTCATTTGATAAGATGATGGCATTAGTGAACTGCTAGTAGGCATGTCATATGATATGCTGGCACTTGCAAATGTGACCAGGGCTTGAGTTGAGTCACAGGACTGTTTCTCTACATCTTCTGAATTTACAGAGATCAGACTTGTATGTTTTGATCTGCTCCATAACAAAGTTTGCTTTCTGAGACTTCCCAGATCTTCCTTGAAATGTGGATTAAAAAATATATAAAGAAGCGGGTTTAGACATGCAGGCAGTGGGACAATCACTAGAAGAATGGATTTAATTACTTCTGGACTAATAAAAGTGAGGTTTAATAAGGAGGAAAAAGTTAGGAAGGCCACAGGGCAATAGAGAATGCAATTAGTAAAAAGTAACAATGCTATGTGCTTGATTGTAGAACAGTCCCAAATACTCTCTAGCTCTCCCTTCTCCAAACTACAGTACAGTTTTGTATAGGCAACAGTCATCACCAGAAAGCAAAGTGAATTTAGTAAGACCAGTGCTACCATGAAACCCATAGAGCTGGGTTCGCCAAATGGCAAAGGTAAACAGAGTGGAGACACCCCATATTTACTCTCACTGAGAAGTGGTACCACTGCAATTATCAGTGCCAATATAAAGCAAAAGAAAATGGCTATTTTCACACTAGCAAGAGAGGATTTTGTTTCAAACTTTGTAGCATACTTTACGGAGAACCCACGTTCGAGTGCTGCCAGAGTAAGGAGGAAAATGGAGGTTTCTGAAGCAAAAATGGACAAAAGGCCAGTGACTTGGCAACCAACTCCGCTTTCCCACCAAGCACCATACTGAGCAAAGCTGCCAAAGGTTAATGCATCCACACTGGCCAATACACCACTGGACAGACCCATTAGTGTGTTTACAATGGCTATCAGTCCTATTAAAAGTTTTATAGAGGAAATATACAGTGGAGATCTGAAGACTGTTGCAATTAACAGTGCATTGCAAAAAAATGCCAAACCCGCTATGGTCCACACTCCAATTCTGATTAGCCAGCTACCAAACAGATGGTCACAGGGCTTGAAGGCACCTGCAAGGACAAAAAAGAGAAATAGGAAAAGGAAATAGGTGAGAGTGAAGGATTTATTTGCAACATTTTAATGTCTCTTCTTACCTCAGGGAGAAGGAGCATTTATCTCCTTCAGCACACACTGATGTGCAGTGGCTTCCAACCTTCTTTTGTTGGTGCTTCCCCAAAAGACTGTCTCTCCTGTCCATCATGACCCAGAACAGGAACAATTCCATCCCTTTTTAATGTCCCTGCCCCATCCTGGTCTATATTATGGAGTTATTTTCCCTTATTTCGAAATAACAAGTGGAGCGTCCACACTACCAAGAACGTTATTTCAAAATAACAGGCTGGTTATTTTGAAATAACTCCTGCTTTTCATATGGAAAAACGCTAATTTTGAAATAGTTATTTCATAATAGTGTTAGTGTGGATGCTCCACTGCTGTTATTTCGAAATAACTGCTCCCCAGAGTAATTCAGACTAATTACTCCTTAGTGCTTCTTGGAGCTCTAAGTCAAGGTAGCGCGTCCACGTTAATGAAGCCTGCCTTGGACTAATTTTGAGGCTTCCTTATAGAGTGGGGGACACGCTATTTTTTTGAAATTATTTTTGGAGTTATTTTGAAATGAGTTATTTTGAAATAATTTCCTAGTGTAGACATGTCCTCTCTCCTGTGTCTGTTTTCTTGGTGGGTTTTTTTAGGGTTTTATTTTCCCCCTCTTCATTTCCTTATGTGAAGAGGTGGCTTTCTGCTATCAGATGAGGGAGCTGTGGTGCTGACTAGAGCTGCTTGTACTCTCCCAGGGAGCTGGGTGCTCTGAGAGTAGGTAAGCTCTGAGAGAAGACAAGCCTATAGAGAGGTAAGCTGTGTCGCTGGCCAGATACACTGAGGGTTGGCACCAGAGCAGAGAGAGACTTTCTGGAGATCGGGAGATACCTGCTGCTTTCCTTATAGCAAAGGAAGCATTCAGTGGAAGTGGTATCATGCAGTTTTTTTTCAGTCTCTGCTTCTCCTGTCTACAGTACCTAAGGTTGGGAAACTTTTCTAGAGAGGAAATGCTAACATTGGGAAATCATTTTGTAGAGAATGTTTATTCAGGGCAAGTGATATTTGCCTCTGACCCACATATTGGACCAAACTGCCCTATTACAGTAGTGTAAACTTGCAGTAACTCAACTGGCTTCACTGGAATTATTCCAAATGCACATTGGAGTGCCTAAGGACAGAATCTAGTTTATTGTCATCTTTTGCTTGATGGACACAGAAACCAATGACTTGAGATCACAGATCTGTTTTACCCAAGGGAGGGATTAGACTGATTTGAGGACACAGAGAGAAACTCTTGGTTTAAACCAGTGATGGGCAAACTTTGGCCTGCAATCCGCATGACCCATGAGAGTAATCTGACTGGGGGCCACAAGACATTTTGCTGACATTGGTCGTCCAAAGGCACCACCCTTTGCCTGCAGGTGCCCCCCCTGTAACTCTCATTGGCCAGAAATGGTGAACTGTGGTCACTGGAAGCTGCAGGGGGCACTGCCTGCAGAACAGTCAATGTTAGCAAAATGTCTTGCAGCCTGCAATCAGATTACGCTGACGGGCTGCAGGTTGCCAATCGCTAGTTAAACAGTCACAGGAGCCCATGTAGAGTAGAGCTACAATGTAATTGTAGTTAAAACACAATTTCATGAGGTTATGTTGTGGGCCAAGACAATTCTGTTCCACTAAAATTATTGTAAAATATGGTGCAATTTCACTGAAATGGATCTGAAGTTATTTCTAGGGACACCTTAACAATTATTCGTTTTAGACAGCAAGGGAAACATGATCAGGTCTCCTATGTCTGGCAGTTCCATACCTGGAGAAGGTGAGCATTGTACTGAATGATGAGCTTTCAAATCTTCTTCGAAGTCAAGCAGAAAATCCTCAAAGTCACGTTCATCTGTGGGAGAAAAATCCCCAAAACTTTAGACTCTGGTTTTATGGTAAGTTCCTCAGTGTGAATATAGGGAAAAGGCTACTTTATCCTGGTTACTTTATCCTGGTCCAGGATAAGTTACTTTATCCTGGTCTTGCAGTTGTAGACCCATTTGGTTTTGAATTAACTTGGAGTGAATAGATCAAATCACCATTTCTTTGAAAATAATTACAGTTAAAAAGGTGTCTCGTTGATTACCTAACTTGCGCTATGAGGACTGCCCGGAGGTGTGCCAATTCACTGACAAATAATCCTGGCTTTATGTTTGTGTTGTGATTACCCCAACATGTGCCACATGGTGCCAGTTCTGGCTCCATTCTTATCAGTTTCAGTCCTTGCTACCCCTAATCACTGGGGCTCAGAGGGAAAAAGATCTTGTCAGATTTGAGCCTTTTGCTGGCTCACTAGAATGGAGATGGGATGGACACCAGCAGGACTGTGTAATACAGAGACAGACCCAGTGCTGCAGGGGAAGAGGGTACCATGAATCTCTAACCAGTCCAGCCACTGCAGGCCAGATTCTCTCCCTGGCACCCAGGGAGTATTAGCAGAAGTAACAGGCTGTCGTGCCTTGCAGCTCACCACATCGTACAACCCTCATGGGCTATGGGTCTTGTATCACACTCTGGGATCACCAGGCTCCTGTTTTTTTACCAGAATACCTGATCAAAAAGGAACCTGGCGGGTCTGGTCAACATTTGCCAGGGCTGGCAGGTTCCCTATCTAGGTCCATGCAGCTTCCAGAGATGGCCAGCATGTTCCCTTTCCCGCTTCTAAGTGCAGGAGTGGCCGGGGGGGCTCCACACACTGTCCTTTCAGCAAGTGCTGGCTCTGCAGCTCCCACTGGCCAGGAACCATGGCCAATGGGAGCTGTGGGGACAGTGGCTGTGGACAGAAGCAGTTGAGCAGAGCCGCTTGGCCACACCTCCATCTAGGAGCCAGAGGGACTTGTTGCCACTTCCAGGAGCCAACCCAGAAAAGGGCCCTCTGGAGCTCACTCTCCCTTCTATGCCCCAACCCTCTGCCTAACCCCTGAGCCCTCTCCCATACTCAAAATCCCTCCCAGATCCTGTACCTCTCCCGCAAGCCAACCCCCAGCCCTGAGCCTCTCCCACACCTCATTCTTAGCTCCACTCCAGAGACCACATCCCCAGCTAACGCCCATGCCCCAACTTCCTGCCCCAGCTTGGAGTTCCCTCCCGCACCCAAACTCCCTTCTGGAACTCACACCCTGCATCCTTCACCCTCAAACCGCTCATCCCTAGTTCCATCACAGAGCCTGCACGCCCTGTCAAAGCCCTCACCCTCTTGCATCCTGAACCCCTCATTTCTGGCATCACCCTGGAGCCTCAACCCTCAGCCCAAAGCTCATAGCTACTCCCAAACCCCTACCCCTACATAGGGGTTCAGTATGTACCACCTCTTACCTACTGAACCCCTAATTTCTGATCCCACGCTGGAGCCCACACCCTCTTCCCCCACCCAATGAAATTGAGCAAGTGAGTGAGGATGAGAGAGAGCAAGCAACAGAAGGAAGGGGGAGGGAGTGAGTGGGTGCAGGGTTTTGGAGAAGAGGCGGGGCCAAAGGGAAGGGGCAAGGGTGTTTGGTTTTGTGTGATTAGAAAGCTGCAACCCTGTCCCACTTCCAAGCATCTAGTGTGAGGATCCATCTTTCCTTTAAAAGGAAATTGTAAATAAATGCTTGTTTACCTTTTGAGAGCTATATCTCAGTGCCATGAACTTCAATGGCAAAATTCTCATTGATTTAAAGAGGTAGCCTGGGCCTTAAAGTAGGTTCCAGAGACAAAGACTGACATTACCTTGAATGTGCAACATTCCAGAATCTTTCTTGTGAAAATCATCAGCACTGCTGTTCTCATCTTTGCTCCACTGGCTGGAGATTTTGTAGTGGCTTTCACAAGCTCCAAATGCACAGCACTGGTAAGCATAAGGCATTTCTATGACCCTGAACATGAACAAAAAAATATGCCATTATGCTCATTACAGTACTTAAAAGCAGTATGCCTCATCACTAATGTTAATATAGAGGAAAATGAACTAGATTGGATAACTATAATTGAAAGTGAAAAGTCATATATGTAAAAAACCTTGTTAATGTAGAGTTTGGAATGCATAGTTAAAATTACAAAAAATAAGAAAATGCAAATGGTTCCAAGACTATTTTTAATTCAGACACTTGCATACATCCTATATATTTTGTTATGGAGCTTTTACAACATATTTAATATAATATATTAAGATGTACATTTAATAAAGGAGGAATGCAATGCAATTGAGTGAATGATTCTGCCAGAATCATATTTTAATATCCTGACTTTTAGTGATTTTAAGTGTTTTACTCACTGAGTTTCCTCAGAGTAATTTTCTTAGGCTACAGCTACACTGTAACATTGTCGAAATAACTAGCGTTATTCCGAAATAACTTAGTCCATGTCTACACAGCAGGCAGTTATTTTGAAATAGTGTCAAAATACTGTCAAGCTGGAGGACTTCTTACTCCGACTCCTGTAATCTTCATTGTCAAGGAATAACGGAAGTCAGAGGAAGAGTGCTCTGTTTCGAAATAAGTGCTGTGTAGATGCTCCCTATTTTGAAATAAGCTATGTAATTGACGTAGCTCAATTTGCATAGCTTATTTCAAGTAAAGCCCTGCAGTGAAGACGCCCCCTTAGTTTCTTTTTCTCTTAGAGGAGAGATTCAAATATTCTCTAGCTCATTCCTACCTGCATTACTAGCAAAACCCATGTTTCAGTGCACAACCCCTACACATTTGGAGGAAATGTGCATGGCTATTTTGAAATAAGCTATTCTGGAATAGTTATTCCGAAATAGCTTATTTTGAAATAGCATGTCTACACTGCAGGGAAGCCTTAAAATTAGTCTGAGGCAGGCTTCCCTAATGTAGATATGCTATTTTGATTTAGAGCCCCAGGAGGCACTGGGGAGGAATAACTTAGAATGACCCTGGTGAGGGGTTATTTCAAAATAGCAGCATTGGAGCGTCTACACTATAGCTATTTCGGAATAGGCATTATTCCTCATAGAATGAAGTTTACAGATTTTGGAATAAGCCATTCATGATTTTGAAATTATTTTGAAATAATGGAATGGCTGTGTAGAAGCTCTCATTGTTATTTCAAAATAATACTAGTTATCTCGAAATAACGTTGCATTGTAGACGCACCATAACAGACTGAGTTTTGAATCCAGATTCAAACTTCTCCTATATCCAATATAAAATAACTGAAGCTGGGTTCATCTTTGGGCAAAGACCAAAAATGGAAAACTCTAAACTGAATGGTTAATGATTTGGAAAGTTAAGGATATCTGAAAATAGGTTGTTAAAATGGAAACTGTTTTGCTACATTAATTATCATGAGTACATCTGCACACTATCCAGGGGCACTACCATCCATAATGACTTTCATTACACTGTTATTCCTGAAACTTCACCTGGTTTTAGTCAATTGGTTCTCATTCTTTTTACTTGTATACAAATTCCAGGTCTCATACATTTTCAATTCTATTTTATTTGGACATTATAAGGCAAATCCCAAAGTAGATGAATTATCTTTTGCTAATTACACTGTTACCTCTGATAAATATTTGATTCACCATTGTTTTCTAGTTGCAACTGTTAATTAACTCCTAAAAATTAATTACTATAAATAACAAAAATGTATCACTGAAAATTACTCTAATTTAATGCAATATAAATGTCAAATTTATCAGAAATCAAACAACGCTCAATAGCAGAAACAATTCTTATATAAACTCTAGTGGCCATTTATAAAGCAATCAGCCTAAATAATAGGTCCTTTTGCCAAGGAGAGCTAAGCTTGCATTCTAGCTGAAGGCTTGGCAAAAAGGGGAACAAACCCAACCTCAAGCTAAAGCTAATGTTTAAATTACAATTTAAATGCCAACTAATGAGCTACTTGTTCAGATTTCCATGGTTGGGTGGAAGCAATAGCAATGTTTAAGCCTGTGTCCCATATAAAATACTCCAATAAAGTTCAGGACAATAAAGTTTTAATTGACAACTTTATGTGAAGAGAATGATTTCCTAGGACTTAAACATAAAATCTCAAACCCATGAACTTTCCAAGTACGTGATCATTTAAAAAGTGAGATTATCGAGTTAAGGCTGTCATTACATGTTTGAGAAATGACTTCTTTAGGTGCTGTCCCAAACTAAACTCTGGGTTTTAACCACACATACCTCTGTGTTGGCTTATGTATGCGCGCGTGCGCGCACACACACACACACACACTCTCTCTCTCTCTCTTTCACTCACTAGAAATCAGTCACCTGATTAAAAAAAGGTGCAAGACTATGGAGTCAGCCAGGAAGTTGACAAAAAACAGATATGTAAAATAAAAGTCCAGCCTTTTGGAAGATGGCTGTTGTGACTCATGTGGTTTGTGCAGCTTTGGAAGAAGTTGAGCATGTTTCAGAAAAGATCAGGCAGGTTGTTCAGCTCCATGGATTAATGGTAATGGACTCATTAACTGAGCAGGACATTTCCTTTATATGCCTGCTGATGACAAATCTCCAGTTATTTCTGGATTCCTGCCCCCTGATGTCTAGTTGGGGGCAGACATGTAAGTCTCAAGCTCTTCAATGTTCCATGGCTTCCAGATAATGTGGCCAGGTGCCTAAGCCTTCTCAGTCACCACTTTTTAAATTACATGGTGTCTATTCTGCATCCCCTTTGTAGTTTCTCCCACAATTCCTTTGACAAACCTACACAGGGCCCTATTTTCCAGAGTTACAATGGGTTTAGATTAACCAACTTCATAGAAATGAAGATCATCCTCTTCCATTAAACATTAGTCTGGAAAATATTCTCCATTGATCCACTTAAAAAATATATGGCCAGACATTCATTTAGAAGATCCAAAAATATTGTGTGACCCAGCCATGGTTATATTTCTCCAGAGCTACCAGACATCAGTTTGTCCTGCTCACAATTTTCTCATCACATTCTAATGAAACTTCTTGCAAAAACTGTCTAAAACAATTCAAGGATAACTCAAAAATGCAAACCTGACATGAAAGTTAGAACTGAACCACATCACACCAGAGAGTCAACTTTATACTTCACAGCAAACACTGGACCCATTTCCTGTTACCTTAAAGGCAGAATGACTGACTGCTACTTAAAGAAGAACATAGTGCTCTTTTACATCTTTGAACTTTAGCTGCTGTTTGCAGTTTACATAGACAAAAAATCTGTGTGAAGATTAGATTTTACCTGTCAAAATAAGACATTTTGCTCTTAAAAATTAAGACCTATTTTGCTTACAGGGGCCATGTCCCATGGTGCACCTCTTTTTCTCAGTCTAAGTGGTTTAAAGAGCAGAAAGCCTTCACAGAGAGAACTTTAGCTTTACATATTTTAAGGTGGGAGATGGTCATGGTCAGTGAAGGGGAATGGTAAATTGTGAGTAGTCCGTGGAACGGGGTGGGCAATAATTTTTGGTGGGAGGCCACTCCAAGATTTTGGTAAGTGGTCAAGGGCCGCACTTTTCTGTAGAGGGAGTGCAGGGTCTAGGTTGGGTGCAGAAGGGCACACGCAGTAAGGGACTGGGGTGCAGGAGACAGTGTGGGATCTGAGAGGGTGTTTGGGTGGAGGAAGGGGTGTGTCCTGGGTTAGAGATTGGGGTGTAGGGTCAGGGAGGGAGTGTGGGTTCAGGAGAGGATTCTGGCCTGGGGGAAGGGTGTAGGAAGAAGTACAGGGTATGGGAGGGAGTTGTCACCTGGGGCAGGGGGTGCAGAGGGTTTGGATGGTGATCTGGGGGAGGACGTTGGAGTGCAGGAGGGGTTGGGGTACCAGAGACAGGCACTGGCTGGGAGGAGTATACTTAAGTGTTTCCTGGCCAGCAGACTGCAGCACCCCCAAGGCAGGATGGACTCCCCACTTACTGCAGCCCTAGCCTGCTTGAAAATACAGGCTGCTACCTCCATGTGTATCTCAATTCCCGCTGCCCCAGTCTCTCAGGCCAACCGCTCAGCTCCGATTGGCTGGCTGTTTCCAGCCAATAGGAGCTGAGAGATTGGCTGAGGACAGTTCTTATTGGCCGGTTGTTTCTGGCCAATAGGAGCTGAAGATTGGGCAGGGGGCGGGGAGATTGCACAAAACCTCCCCCTCCCTGCAGAGTAGAGAGCCGCAGGGACTGTGTTTTAAACCACGGCAGCTGCATGTGCCTGAGGGTCCCGGCAGGGTGGTCCATGGGCTGGATCCTGTGGCTTGGCGGGCTGGGTCTGGCCCATGGCCGTATTTTGCCCAGCCCTGCCATGGAGGATGGCTAGTGAGTTGTGACACCAAACCACTGAACCAAAGCCCATGAGGACAGAGGGAAGGGGAAGAAGGCAACATTTATTCTTTCTCTTTGATATAGTGAACGTATTCAGGTGATAACTGTTATGCCATGTCTAGGAGCAGGGCTATAGATTCCACCTCTCATCCCCAGATATTTCTTTGTATTCCCAAGCAAATGGTTTATTAGCTAAACTGCAGGCTCTTTCCTAGGATTTGGTCCTTGGATGCGCAAATGATGAATAACAATGCCATTCACAAAGGATAAAACGGTTCTAGTTCTCTGTTCAAATTTAGTGCTTTGAAGAGTCACTTTAAAGTTTTTGGGTAAAATCTTGACCTCACCAAAGTCAATGGCAGAACTCCAATGGACTTGAATGGGGCCAGGATTTCACCTCTGTTCTTTGCTAGTTGCATGAACCTAACTCCTATTAATGCCAGTCAGAGTTAGATATGTTCACTTGAAGAGGAATAGACACTTTTGAAACCTTTTTTGCATAAAAGAGAGAGGGATCACTTGGCACTGCTTCATGACTTCAATTTTCACAGATAATTGTATTTTCATCAAAACGTGATTTTCCTTTATGAAGAACATATCATTTCTAACACACAAATCCATATTAAAAATGAAAACATAATTGTACTTAATTCCACCAGTCCAGCAATCAGCTCCATTATGCATATTCCTTATCCTCTTTCTTAGGCCAGCATGTCATGGCATATGCTACATTTTCATAATAATCACAGTTAAAGTAATTTTGAATTGAGGCATTTATTACATGTTAAATATTTTTCAGAAATCAATCTGGCCATTTTAGAGATTTTATCTGCCTCCAGGTGGAAAAAGACACATTCCTCCTGCAATGAGGTTTAACAGGTAGTTCGAAATATAGCTTTATTTCGAACGCCCGTTTCACTGCTGCGTGTAGACGCGGGCAGTTATTTCGGGCTTGTAAATTTCAAAAATGGCACCCGGCTAGGAAGATGCAAATCAAGCGCAGGATATTTAAATCTCGGGCTTGATTTGCAATTCTGAATGCCTACATTTGCAGCCCTATTCTGAAATAGGCTGCAAGTGTAGACATACCCTCTAGAGAGAATAAACACAAGGAGAGATGTGCATACATAGCACCCAGGGGAGCCTGACTGTGGGCATGCCCCTCCAAGATGCTGAGCTCCAGTGCTAAATTGAGAATATTCCTGCAAGGTGCAGACCCTCTATAATGGGTGTTGAGAGCACTCAGCATCTTTTTTATAGCTTCACAGATTTTACAGCCAGAAGGGACCATTAGATCATTTAGTCTGACCTCTATGTAACATAGGGCATAGTATCTCACCCAGGTACCCGTGTTAAGCCTAAAACTTGTGTTTGACTAAAGCATATCTTTCAGAAACACAACCAGTCTTCATTTGAGGACTGCAGGAGACTTCAGTCATCTTCCACATTCTAATGACTTAACCAACCATCTAAACAATGGAGGTGCTAATTGTTCTTATCAGCCTGTTGTAACTATTTCAACCATCTACTCACTGCTTTTTTTCCCTCTCTTTTTTTCTGTTCTCCTCCTTCCCCGCCCCTTATTTATTCTTGGATCTGGACTTCTAATACTTCTGTCATCTGAAGAAGTAGGTTGCGCCCATGAAAGCTCATGATGACATCTATGTGTTTTGTTAGTCTTTAAGGTGCTACTAGACTATTAGTTGTTTTTTAAGTTTTTCATGTTAGTAAAGTTAAGCATGTGTACAAGTTTTTGTAGGATTGGGCCTATATTATTATATACACCCTATTGCACTTGTGGGTAAACTGAGGCACCAAGTCAATTAGGGCCCAATCTTAATCAAAATGAAGTCAGCAGCAAAATTCCCATTTACTTCAAAAGTACAGGATCAGGTTATATTTCACCTTGGTATCTACTTAATTCCCATTACATTTAATGGGAGTTATGTAACTATAGTCAGTTGAAGACAAGCATTAAACTGCTAGCAATATCATTTTAACAGCTTTTGGAATGTATTGCCAGGAAGCAGATGTGGATCATGCTAAGCAGCTACTGGGGTTAATATTTCAAAGCCCACTGTAGTTTCTTCAGTTAAACAAGAGTGCAATAAAAGTAGTTTATCATATTTTTATCATATTTGTTTTAGTTTTAATACTGCAGATCAAAGCCTTCTAGTATGAAGCAATGTACATTACACAGTGACACACCTTCTATTGCACAGGAACACAAATGTAGCTCATTAGTCTTAATGACATACTCACTTGAGTTCTGGAAAATTTTCAGATGATATCAAACTTTGTAGGTCATGATTTCCTGTTAATTTTAAATGAGTTAAACCATGTAGCCCAGTCACAGGAAAAGAGGACAAAAGGTTGGATGACAGATCTCTGCATAACAGCAAATAAAAATCAGGTTATATGGTATTTTTTCCAGAACTAGCAATGTTTTTTTAATACATTTATTTCATCTTCTAAAAGATTATTTAAACTAAAGAGCCACCCCTCCCACCTCATCAGCAGTGAAGATCTGCAACATTCTTCACTAACAAACACCCATTTTCCCAGAGGAATGTGCGGCTGGACCATGGCAGCATTTTGCTCAGCAGTACCCCTGTGGGTTAATTATTACCAAAACCCGACTCTGTACACTCATGGCACTGGTTTTAGAGAACAGGTAATCAATTAAAAATGAATTGACTATTCTCTGAAACTATACGTTGCCAAATGAGAGCAAGTTCACAACTAGAACAAAAGCAAACTTTTTTTAACTCCTTGTGCAGGACTGGATTGTTATTAGGGAGTGTGAGAACACATGTACTTTATCTTTAAAACTACAGTGGTAAGCCAAGCCATAGGTGATTCTAAGCAGAAGCGTCACATGAAGAAGAGAGTATGAGCTTTAGCAAGAATACTAGCCTTCTTCGAAAAAAAGTACCTTGTTCTGTGTTAGAAAGCAGACCTGTGATTATTGACTATTGTCACCTGAAAGAAGCTGTCTGGAAGCTATACTATAGACACTGTGTAGTACAGCCGTGCAATAGTGCTGGAGGACTAAGTAGTTGTAGCCATTGCTGGCCTGGGGGATGGTGGCTGTCAGCAAAGCTTCCGGCTGCAGAAAGGAACCTATCAGCCTGGATTTCAACAGCTAATTCAGGTTGTTCTCAGAGAGTGAAATTCTGTGGCTTCCTGCATTTGTGCCACCCCCAGTCTGTCCCTGCTACCTCTGCCTCTCCTTCTCGAATTCTAGCCATAGGTAGGGATGGGTTTTGAGAGACATTGAGTGGGATGGAGAGGATTAGGTTCAGAGCTAAGTGAGATGGAAAGCAGTCTTTGTGGAGCTGGGGCGTGCATGTGAGGCACATCAGATGGGTGGAGGATGGGTTTAGAGCTACAGTGGGGAGTTCTGAGAGTGGTACACCTAAGGGAGGGCAAGCTGGATGAGAGCCGTGGGAGGTTTGAGTTGTGGGAAAGTTGGGAGAGGGCAGTGTGTGAATGTGGGAGATTCTCAGCTGAGTGGCTAGGTGAGAGGATGGTGGATGGGGGTTTTAGGGAGCAGAGGGTGAGGTTTGAGGAGGAAACTATGGGGCCTGGAAGAGCAAGGTTCTGAACTGAAGAGGGATGACTGGGGTTGGCAGAGTGTACTGTGGGTAAATGAGGGTTAGTGGCCTGGGGGAGGTGAAAGAGGAGGGTGGGAGCTAGAGCCAGAGAAGGAGCTGAGATGTACTGTCATAGATTTTCCTTTTTCTTTCTATTTCTCCACAATCCTTCAGGTCCTCACAAACATTCCTTAAAAAAAAAAAAAGGTTGGTCAACAGGCAGGAAGAAGAATGATGGGGCAGAAGCACATATAACTTCTGCTGCCGCCTTTGAGGTTGTATAGAATTGTTACTGTCCACGTGGCTCATAAGGAAGTACTAGGTAAATGTTTAGTAGTATGGGACGTGCCAACAGCAACATAATTAAATATCAAGGGTGAAATCCTGGTACTAGTCAAGTCAATGGCAAAACTTTCATTGACTTTCATAGGGTCAGGATTTTGGTCCAAGTCTTCTGCTACAACTGGACTCTATCTGACGGCGTTAAAGGATATTTTTGTGTAACCCTCTCTGATTGGCAATATATTGGCTAAAATTACTCAGTGGGATCCCTGATCCACTTCGGAGGCCTCTCCTGCAGGGAACTCCTTAATTGCTGGTGAAAGAGACACATGTGGGATTCTCGTTCCAGAGACTTGTCTTTGGGTCATTCCATTGAGAAAGCAAGTTTCCTCCAATCACAGAAAAAGATGGGGAGACTGCCTGTAAAAGCACTGGATCCTGGGAAAACCACGAGGCAGCCATATAGAGGCGCAAGCACTCTGCTCCTAGTGGTACCCATCACCTTAGCTCCTGGGTAGTGTGGCTGCAATGTGGCTATGATATCAGCATCTCCCCAGCTACTTTTTGCTGTGGGGAGTCCCCTTAAAAAGGTTTTCCAGTTGCAGTGGGAGGCAGGTGAAAATTAATGAAGATGTGGATTTAACTGTGAGAGAGAACTGGAAAACTGGGCATCTGATGCTTAGATAATCAAACTATTAGTAGTGACAGTTATTAATAAAGCATACTTTTCTATCACATTAATATTGCTGAAACAAAAACAGTTAATAAAATAACATATGAACATAAGAATGGCCGTACTGGGTCAGACCAAAGATCCATCTAGCCCAGTATCCTGTCTACTGACAGTGGCCAGCACCAAGTGCCCCAGAGAGGGTGGACCAAAGACAATGATCAAGCGATTTGTCTCCTGCCATCCCTCTCCAGCCTCTGACAAACAGAGGCCAAGGACACCATTTTATCCCCTGGCTAATAGCCTTTTATAGACCTAACCTCCATGAAATTATCTAGCTTCTCTTTAAACTCTATTATAGTCCTAGCCTTCACAGCCTCCTCTGGCAAGTATCCTGCTGTTTAATTAAGATTCAAATTCTTTATTCCTGATGCTGTAAATATTCCAAAAATAACTGGAAACACTGCTGGTCTCAGCTACAAGGGATAAAACTACTAGCACTCTGGCAAAAAGAAAAATATGGTATGTCGACATGCTCCAAACACCCAGCATCACCAGGTTTAGATAATTTTCATATACAGTCATAAGTTATATGAAGTTATTTCCCATAATAGTTATATAGGAATGGAAAGAAGTGAAGAAGCAAAAATCCAGAGAGAGTGCTTAGTACCCAGAAATAATTAGGCATGGAGTCACAGTCAGTATCTGTAAACACTGAATTTCTGATTGGGCTCCCAAGTTATTTAACAGTGCATGTTTTTGCAACAAAATATGAAAAAAAATAACTGAGTAAATACTCACAGTTTGATCAGGGATGGTAAAGAAGAGAATGCATTAGGGTAAATAACTGCAATTTTGTTCCAAGCTAAATCCCTACAAGAAAAGTGAGTAGAGAGTTACATGCTCACTGAATGCATTTGGAAGATTTCAGGTGCTTGTTTAGGATGCTTAAATAACAAAAAGGTATTAGTTACATTCCAAATACTTTCAATAGGCTGCTATATTTATTGGGATCATGTATATTTTAGAGTGAAATGTCTTTCACTCAGTTTTAAATGTGTTAGTCAATTCGATATGAAAATGGGCTGCTTGCCATCTATATTCTAAACTATCAATGGAGTTGGTCCTGTAAACATTTACATGAGTGATCTGTGCTGAGAACACCATGCCTACTGACTTAAGTGGGAGTGCCAGTGTGAAGAAGGACTACTCATGTGAGTCAGAATTTGCAGGATTGGGATCTATTTTTTAATGCTGTCTTCTGCAGAAAAAAAAAAATCACACGGCTTTCTTTCACTATTCTGTATACACACCGATAGGTACTAGCGCTGACTCAGTACTTTCCTACATTTTACGAAATGTTTAAGAGTAGCAACTATTACAGCTGCGAATTCATTCCTGGAAATGCTCAACTTCAAAATGTTTATTTTGCTTTGGCAAATATAACTTAGTGAGCTGAATGATCAAAGTGGAACAATGGAAACAAATGTTCAGGGGCAGGTAGTGTGAGAGAGTGCAAGCTCCCATGTTTCTGACAATCAAGGCAAATAGTTATTATGGCTGAACTCACAGAGAACGTAGCGCGACCAGCTGCTGAAATGTGTCGGCCTTGATTTCATAGATTTCATTATGATGTAAGTCACTGCAAAGGAAATAAGACTCTCATTGTCTTCAAAGAGCATAACATTTGGAGAATTTTAGACAGTGTTTGTGTGTGTTATGCATCCAGATTTTAAATTAGAAGACACACATGTTGAGGCTACGTCAATCACCACCAAATGTGTTTGTAGTAACCAAATTAATAACCTCTAAGCAACTTAGTGTATCTATCTAGATTTACCTTTATAGGAACTTTACAGTTGTTCACATACTTACATTTTTTGAAGTTTTTGGCAAGCAGTAAAACAGGGTAAATCTTCTAGCAGATTGTAAGACAGATCCCTGAAAATAGAGAGGGCAAAGCTCTATGGTGCTGTAATAAAAATTAGCATTTTTTTCTGTTTGCTATATTTGAGGATTCCCTGCTACAAACATAGACTTTCTGAATCTTTCATAGTAGAGATACTGAAGATACGTCAATCTGTGTTACTGGAGTTAGATCACAGATTTAAATGTTCACCAAAATTTAACTGTTATACTTATTTTAATTACTTACAATAATTTACTTACAATAAAATTACTTAAAATAATCTACTAAATGAGACTATTCAGATTTTGACAGAGAAAACCCTAAACTTTCTAGTTATACTGAAATGTAATCAGTTTTCCAGACTACACTTTAAATTAAATAATCTTGCATGTAACCCTTAGAGTTGCTATATCTTTAGCTGAGGGAAGTGGTTTTTTTTTTTAAAAAAAAGAACTAACTTTGAAATCAATCACTACAAAGGGAAAAAAAAACTGAAAAGACTTGAGCCAAAACTCAACAAATTACAGAATAAGTGAAACATCTGGACTGATTTATAGTATAATATAACTAATCAAAAACAAGCCATGGTAATTTGCAGAAATTGTAAAAAGAAGAAAGAAACAGAGTCATCCAGTCCCATCCTATGCTTCTTTGCTCTGGGGAAACACACAACAACCTCAGTAGCTGTTTCGCCTGTGCAAAAAGTATAGCCTGGACCTATAAGTAGATACAAAATGTATCCTTCATCTCTGTTTTCTAAACTTAACAATTAATGGAGTAATACATTTTTATGTCTAATTTTTTAACATTGGCTCATCTCTATGCAATTGCAAATCTGTTTTACTTTCTTAAAAGACATTTTAATTCTGTTTGTACTTGTTTTGACTATAGTATTTCAACTATTCATTCTATGCTTGCTTTGTAAAAACAAGCTAAGTATATGACAGCATTCTTTTGCTTTAGTATCTTACTTTTTTCCTTTGTGCAGAGGCTACTGTAAGAGTATGTGTGCATTCTGTTCTTTCAGGGAAGACAGCCTGAACATGCCCTGTTGACAGGTACTTTTATTGTGCTAGTCACACATGTCAGAAGAGGATTCAGGTGGAATAAGCTTATAAACTAATGTGAAGAAGAAGTGTGGATATGGAAAAATATTCTGTGCTGTTGTATGTAACCATTATGTCTGTGCTCCCATATATTAACTTCAGTTTTCTCCTCTTAAAAGGACACGTCCTCTTAAAAGAACATTTGTCAACTTGAATTTTTAAAAAAATTGAAACATTCTTGTTTCAGATTGAGCACCACAAAATTGTTTCTTAAAAGTCCTTTTATGAGGATTTTTCTGTTCCTTTGCTGATATGTATAAGGGTCTTTCCAGCAAGAGAGCAACCAGCGGGGCCAATGGCATAGCTGGGCCCCGGGATAAGAGGGGACCTAGCTCCTTGCCCTGGAAGGGGTAGGGTGGAGTGCAGAAGGGGCAGGGCCAAGGACAGTTAGGCCTTAGCACTGCCGAGACCACAGCACACCCCCTTCCCCAGCCCTCACAGCCGCTCAGAATGGCGCTCTGGCACTACTGCGGTGAAGGGGCCCGGGAGCTCCAGCTGCTGCTGTGGGCCCTTTTAAATTTCCAGGCCGCAGGGCAATTGCTCTCTTTGCCCTTTCCTGTCGGCGGGCCTGTGAGCAAATGATCAGGGTCATGATCCTGCACAGGGTTAGGTGTATGTTTAATTTTTTGCACTGTGATTAGTCCTATTGAGGCCAATCTTCTTAGGGTATGTCTACACCTCAGAGTTTTATCAGAAAAATGGCTGTTTTTCCAAAAAAATCTGAGTTATTTCCACACTGCAATCGCATTCTTCGAAAGTAAACAGAAAGAACAGAGGTGGTTTTCCGACATTGGTAAACCTCTTTCTACGAGGAAGAAGCCTTTTTGCGCAAGAGCTCTTTTGGAAAAAGGTATGTGTGAATGGGGAAGAGGGACATAGTAATCACAGCTTAAATGCAAGATAGCGTCCATTCAGCGCGGACACTATCTTTCGAAAAAACAGATTGCTTTTTCGGTGAGCTTTTGTGTGTGGACACTCTCTTTCGGAAGAAGTTTTTTTGGAAGATCTCTTCTGAAAAAAGTTTCTTTCGAAAGAAGCCTGCAGTATAGATTTAGCCTCAGTGTGGTAAATTAAAGACGTACATATGTCTTTGCAGGATCAGGGCCTAACTGATTATACAGCCGAAACAACTATACTGACCACACACAAACTGCTGCTGAATGTAGAATAATATAGAAAAAGAGAGATTTCCCTCTTCTAACACCTTTCAGGTATAGTAATCTTAGGTGATACTTCTAAAAATCACACACTTTTCAGACAATTTTAAAAATATTTTTTCAATTTTTATGAATTGAAATATCGGTTACACAAATTTTGAGTTTTATTTTCATCTAAACGTTCATAGTTACTGGAAATTATGGGAATATGATAATTATTCAATGACATCCTCTATTAAATTTTCAAGCAGCATTTTTCTTACTTTGTCTATCTGTAAATATTGATTATTATCAATAGAAATTTTTTTTGGTTGTATGGTGAAATTGATGCGTCTGATATTTACAGATAAAACTGGAATCCTTCCAAACTTATTTATAGATTAGCATGAGCCATACGTTGACTGCAATCTATGTGTAAAATTCTCAGGGTATGTCTAGACTACATGCCTCTGCGGACAGAGGCATGTAAATTAGACTACCCGACATAGTCAATGAAACAGGGATTTAAATATCCCCCGCTTCATTAAAATAAAAATGGCCGCCACGCTGTGCCGGCTCAGCTGATCATCGGCACAGCATGGCAGACAAGACGCAGATCGGTCGACAGGGAACGCCTTTGTCGACCGCTCCCTTATGCCTCAATTCCCTGTCAACCGATCTGCGTCTTGTCTGCCATGCTGTGCCGATGATCAGCTGAGCCGGCACAGCGTGGCGGCCATTTTTATTTTAATGAAGCGGGGGATATTTAAATCCCCACTTCATTGACTATGTCGGGTAGTCTAATTTACATGCCTCTGTCCACAGAGGTATGTAGTCTAGACGTACCCTCATTGTCATCAGTGCAAGCTCTGCATGAGAGCTTTAATGTTGTGGAAATGAATGTTATAGTCCAGTAACTGAATTTTAAAGCTTTTTCTGGAAATGTTCATGATATCCACTTTGGTACTCAAATAATGTGCTATTGGTGTTATTTCAACAGTTGGCCAAGAGAACTAATACCAAATACATTCATAGTGACGTAATAGTTAAAAGTAGAGATGTTAAATTTTGATGAATCAACTAATTGAGTACTGGATGAAATTTCCATTGACTCCTCAATTAGTTGACTGGGGGCATGTCCTATCCCTCTGCGCCTTTTCCTTTGAAATGTACAAGAGCCATCCACAGCTCTTGTACATTTCAAAGGAAGAGGTGCAGCAGGACTATTAAGGTCCCTGCTTGCATGGATTCCCCCCTGTGCCTCTCCCTTTGAAATGTCCCTTCCCCATAGCCCCAGCTCCTGCTACCGTCCTTGCTGCCTCTCTCTGATAGAGTCAACAAGGGGGTCGGAAGGGACTAGTTGACTAATCGCTTACATCCTTAGTTGAAAGTAAAGTGCTGTTGGCTGATTCACAAAGAAATAGCCAGAATAATTACTGTGGTAGAGATTAAACTTACTCTGTGGTATACTTGCATGATAAAATAAAATATTGATTTATTGGTATAAAAATTATGCCCCCACATAGCCCAGGAACAGACTGCTTTAAATTTCAGTCCAACAAATATGCCAGATAGAAAAATAAACTGAAGAGGTGCACATAATAAAGACCCAGATCTGCAGTCCTTACTCATATTTATCTATAAAGACCCAGATCTGCAGTCCTTACTCATATTTATCTCTCTTTGACTTCAGTAATGAAGCCAAGATTGGACCATTCTAAAGAAAATGATCACAGCATAGATAATAAATGCAAATCAAATCTCAGATCTGTCCTTGATGTCCCCACTACGGATGTTATTAAGGAATGTCATGAGTTGTTTTATGCTTTCCTAAAAATATATGATATAAAAATGTTTGTCTCCTTCCTTCCTATAAGGTAAATCCTGAATGACATGTGGATTGTGAGTTCTCTGGGGAAGGGACTGTGAATCCCACCTTCCTTACATGTCTGTACATTAGCTAGCACAGTGCTAACTGTTGCTAGTTAATCATAAGTGGATTGTTTCAGTATCACAAATCACTTAATTCAACCTTTACAATCCTGTGTTAACCTGATGTTAGCACCCTTACTGACACGTACAGCACTTGGAGATTAGGTAGCTGATCACAAGCTACTTTGGGAAGAGATGTGATCCGTGCTCCTGTTAGTGTCCTGTAAAAGTACACAGTACAGAGATTATTTTCTTTTGTTTAATGTTTACAAAATAAGTGCTCAATATAAGGGTAGATACTTAAAGCAAGTCAAGATCTAAACAACTAGATTGACTAGATTAACTAGATTGAGTGGAGGTATGTGTCTAGTACTTACAAACTTTCTAGACTTGTAGTTCCAGTCAGATCAGGAAATTTAGTAATCTGTGAAGCACCATTTAAAGTCCTAGAATTAAAAACACAATATCATAATTGAGAGGAAAGTACAGGACAATCTTAGACATGCAATGGTCATTCAAAGACAAAAAACTTTAAAAGAAGTAAAAAACATACAGGGTTCTGAGTTCTGGTAAGTGTTGAAAAGCAGACTGCCCCACAAGCTGAATTGGGTTATCATAGAAATGACTGCAAAGAGAGAAAAACAGGCATTTAATATACAGGGTAATACTCTGAATAATTATAAATAGGCAAAGCACACTACACATGCGATTGTGAGATCCTTATGATACATTGTATATTTCATTCAGCTCTGAACATTAAATTTTAACTCTGCCCCACTAATCCATCTTCAGTAAGACTGTATTCCAAATGGCTAGATTAGCAGCCAATATTTCTTTGTTTTTAAAATTAACCTGCTACGAAAGTGTTTCTGTCTTTATCCCAAATGTTGAATTTGCCTCACAAATTTAGACGGGCATGAGGCACAAGATGAGCACTATTTGGGCATAAACTTTCGTGGATATAACCACCATTTCATCAAAGCTAATATTCAAATAAATCTGTTAGTCTTTAAAGTGCTACAGGACTCCTCATTATTTTCACAAATATAGACTAACAAATCTACCTCTTATGACAGAATCATAGAAATGCAGGGCTAGAAGGGACATCTAGTCCTCCTCCCCATGCTGAAGCAGGACCAAGTATACCTAGACCATCTTTAACAGGTGATTGTCTAACCTGTTTTTTAAAACATTCACCCTCTTCTTATATTTGATCTGTGATTGACAGCTGTATTTAAGGGCACGTCTACACAGCAGCGTTATTCCGGAATAATGGACGTTATTCCAAAATAACTTTGTGATCATCTACACAGCAAGCCTGTTATTTTGAAATAATGGGTGTCTTATTCCAGATTCTGTAACCCTCATTATACGAGGAATAATGCCTATTAGAATAATAACTATTTCGGAACAGGGCATGTATAAACAGGGCAGATGGAATTATTTCGAAAGAGGCCTCCAGACCTTCCCACAAGTGCTTTGCTGGTCACTCCATCCACAATCATCAAAACTCTGTAGTCCCCCTTCCCCTGAAGCCCTTAAAACTGCAGCCACAGGGGAAAGGGCGTGTGGCTCATGGCAGGCTCTGACAGCCCTGAGCCACAGAGCAGTTGCCAGACCAGCGTGTTCAGCCACCATGAGCGACCCCATTTCTCCCACTGAATCCTCCTCTGCTCCTATGGAGCTAGCAGCCAGCTCCCAGGATGGAAGAGGAATGCATCTTCCTGGTTTGGTGCGGAGATCCTAGCACTTCAACGAACATCCAAATAAATCTGTTAATCTTTGAAGACTGGGGTGAGGAGGAAAACCTCCAGCATCTTTGCAGCAGGTATAAGAATGTGGATGTTTATGGCTGGGTGGATGACAGCCTGGCCACCAAGGTCCACATGCGCACCCAGGAGCAGGTGCGCATGAAGGTAAAGGAGCTAAGGCAGGCTTATGCCAAGGCCAGATAGCACAGCTCCCACTCCGGGGTGGTACCACACACAGCTCCACCATCATCCTTGCTGTGGAGTCAGGGCTGGAGATGCCTGTCATCATCTTCTTGGTGAGGAGGAGGAGGAGAAGGAGCTGGATGAGGCCAGCATTGTATCCATGCCTACCAGCCAGGAGGTCATGCTTGCTCTGGAGGTGTGGTACTCCCGTCCAGGATGTCTCTCAGGCATTGTCTGAGGCCAGGGAAGGCCCCTCAGGTGAGTGCCATTACTTTCCTTAGACATACATGGGTGGAGGTGATGGGTGGCGAGGGGCTGCTGCGTGCTCCTCACTCGGCCTTCTTGGCCTGGGAATCATGCAGCAGCCTGTGCATGTGGAGCACCAACTGGGGGCACACAGACCCAGGAGGCAGCAACAGAGGACCCCTGTGCTCTGTCTCACAGGGTGTCTGGAGAGGCCTGTCTTACTCTCAACACCGGAGTGGGACAGCCTCTCACCACAAGAAGGAGGCTGGACGGATGGACAAACACACACACACCCAACCATCCGAGGCAGGCGCCACTCCCAGCCCCAGCCCTGAGCCTCTTCTCCCCACACTTCTACCTCCCTCCTATTCCCTCCCAGGTTCTTTCCCCAGGCCTTCCCCAGTTACATTCACCCCAATAAACAGAAAACAGAGTTTCTAGTTCCAAAACAAAAAGTGTAGTTTATTTTCTCTGCAGAAGAGGGAAGTGGGGGAATAGGAGGTATAGGGGATGGCAGGGGGTGAGAGGAAAGGCAAAGAGGGGCAATCCACAGACCCCTTGTGGGGAAGCCCAGGATGCAGTGTCACTGGGGTCTTTCTGTGAAACTTTCTCTCAGGGCCTCATGGATACGCACAGCTCCCTGATGGGCTTACTGGATAACAGCCTTGAGTTGCTGCTCACAGGCCCTGCTGATCCGGTCGGCCTCTGCCCCCCACCCTAGCAGGAACATCTACCCCTTGCTTTCACAAATATTATGAAGGACAGAACACGCCACCACCACTTGGGGGACATTTTGCTTGCCAAGGTCCAGCCTGTAGAAGGAGACAGAGAAACACAGGGTTTGCCAGGGCCCTTGGGAGGCCTCCGAGCCCAGCCCTCTCCTCTTCCTCCCCACACACCAGGAGCAGCCCCGACTTGCCCCATCCACCCTCAGGGGTTTGTGAAGGTGGATCAGAAAAATCTCCCAGGGAGGGGGCTTCCACGCCCCCTCCCACTACCTTCCTCTTCCCTAGGGAACCTCACTCCAGCAGTTCAGTTCACCAACCTCCTGGGGTGACAGCACAAGAGTGCCATGCCTGCATGACCACAGCCCCGACAGTTGATCTTCCCACACCAAACTGGTTCCCGATGGATCGGTAGTTGTCTGGCATGGCAAGCTTCCGGATGGCAATGGCCACCCACTTCTGGAGGGAGATGGCAGGTCTCATATGGGTGTCCCATTGTCGGAGACACACAGCTCCAGAAAGGTGTCTCTCCACATACGGAAATTCTGGAGCCATTGCTGGTTGTCCCACTGCTCCAGGATGATCTGGTCGTACCAGTCAGAGCTGGTGTCCTGTTGCCAGAAGTGGTGGTGCACGATGTGCAGGGGAGGGTGGATGGAGTCAAGCTGCAAGAGCAGTGCCCAGAGAGAGGTGAGGAATTGCCCCACAATGAGCTGGGGGGTTGTGTTCCTGCAGGGTCAGGGAGGCAGACGGCAGAAATTACAGCAGGAGGTGCACTAAGACATATAAGAGCTGTCAACTGCTCGGAGGCAGGTCTGGCTCCATGGCAGGAGAGCTGAGGTGTCTGCAAGGGCAACCACAGCAGGCAGAGAACAGGCTTTGCTGTCCCTCAATGAGGTAGGCACAGGAGAGGAGCCTGAGACACGGCCATACAAGGGGATCCCTTTAAGCTTGAACCTCAGATAGCCTTAGGCAGCAGCTCCAGGAAGGGAGTGCTATCCTGATGCCCTGCCTGAAGTGCTTCTGGGTGACGTTAAATGCAACTCAGTGTCCAATGAGTGAGGATGCTCTATTTTGAAATAGCTCAGTGCTATTTAGATGGTTATTTGCTGTGTAGACGCACTATTTCAAAATAAGCTATTTTAGAGTATTTCCTTAGCTTATTAGCAAAATAGCTTAGTCTGAAATATGCGTGCAGTGTAAGCTATGAGGCAGTATAACCTTCAGCTATTCTAGATATCTTTAGTCTGTATATCTTCTTTTCAAAGCACCATTTTATTGTTGTGAAATTAGCAAAATTGTCTTTAAGAATTTACAAATGATTTTAAAGGCTCTATCAAATAACTAGCTAACAAAGAGATGTAGGAAGGAAGTGTTTTCAGAAACAAGTGACTTTAAATGGGATTTGGAACAAATGTAGATAGGTTTTTTTGTGGATTTGGAAGTGATGTAACATAAAGGTATGGGTGAGCAAATAGCAGGATTTCCTATAAATGGGAGCGTCTATAAAAAAGGCCAGAGATCTGCGGCTTTAAAATCGGATTACCAGGCTTTGTGACACTTTTCTGGTACTCTCATTCTGACAGCTCAGAGAACAGAGAACTCCTTTTGTGATGTAATAGATCAGTATTCTCTGGTCCTTAGTATCAAGGCAAGTAGCTCTTTTACTTCTTTTATTTCACCTTCTCACTATTTTTATAGTTGCCAATAAAGAACGTTTTAAAAATGTATTTATCTTGGGTCACCAGTAACTCCACAGAAGCGTGTCCTGTAGCCCAGCAGTTTATAAAATGTAGTACAAATAATCCCTAATCAGAGTCTCCAGGCATAGACCATATCACACCAGTGTCTTTGTTCTCACCATACCCCAATATCTTCCATCACACCTAAGCTCCTGCTCTATTTTCTTCCACCCATTTTCCAGGAGAGCTATCCCAGTCTTTCTTTCAGGGAAGTACCCCTGCTCTTCCCAGAAGGAATTCCCATCACCTCTCTGCTGTGAATACCTTTGCCAGAGGAGTATCCTTCACTCCCCTGGGCCCTCTCACATTTCCTTCACATTCAGTGCTCCAGCAATGAGACATCAGCAGGTAAGCTTTTCTGTTGCTCAGCCATTCTTCAGCCTTCTCTGGCACATGGCTCCAGCTTAGAGCTAGCAGACATTATCCTCTTCTTCTGTCTCTCCTGCCTTCTGCTATTCGGAGATGCTAGCCTACAAAGCTCTCTTGCTTCTCTCCTGCCTTCAGCTTTTCCCAGGATGCACCTTCTGTCTCAGGCAATTTTCATTTCCCTCTTCTAACTGACACTTTAGGTCTTATCCTCTCCAAGCCTCTTCTTGTCCCCAGCTGGTCCCTCACCCTCTGAATTAGCCCAGCTGGGAACACCTGGGAACAGGATACCCAATCTCAGTTTCATTTAATGAAACAGCTATCCCTTTTTAAGAAACTAGCAGGTGAAGCTCGTCAGTAACCAGGCAAAGTCATTTTGTTTGGATTACACTTATAGGAAAGTTCAAGAAATTAAATCTGTATAATAGAATTTTTTGTATTAATGTTCTTGCAAAAGGGAAGTAAAAGAACAGTTTTAAATTTGTAGGATTTCAACTTCAAACATTCATTTTACTGAATAATTACCATACATAGTAAATTTGAATCAGAAACTCGTGAAGATGCCGTTACTTTTTCCATAACTCATTCCATAATTACTTTGAATTATTTTGTGATTTGTAACAATACAGATTTTTTTTGCACTAAAATAAGTTAAATAGGCAACATGATTTTAATTTTAGCAAATATTTTTATGAACTCTAATCATAAAAGTCATGACTATTTTCCAATGAAAAACAAAAATAATCATTTAAACCTTTCAGCCAGCATATTCTGGTATAAAAAGTAGTGCATTCAGCTAATTTAAGTGGAAGGGTTGTTTATGCAAAATTTGGTATCTGTAGGTGATTGCAAAGTATGACTTCATTTTGCACAAACAAACAAACTCTTCAAAATATGTAATAGATTGCGGCCTAACTCAAAGGTCAAGGGCTATGGGAAGTTATTCTCTCTCTCCAAATAGTGTGTGAGTACTGAGAGGACTGAATGACCTGGAAGGTAGAGACCTAGTCCACTTACATCTGATACATTGTACATGTAAAATAAGAATGACAGTGTGTTATAAAACCATACAAATATTGTATTTAATTCCACATTGAATATATATATAATACACACACACACAAAGTAAATTTCTGCCACTTACATTGTAATAAGTGATGGATTGCCCACAAAGGCTTGCTCAGGTATTGATTTGATGTTATTACTGTGAAATCCCCTGGAAAGGAAACAGTATTTTATACCATAACAAAAAAGGTGTGACTGTTAAGACCGGTGAGACATTAAAGAACACTTATTATTTTGGGGCTGTTTTCCACAGGGTAACACAGAGATAATACAATTCAGCAAAAACCTCTATAGCTGCAAACATCAGAGTTTTCATCTTTGTAGTCTATGTGGACATCACAACTAGTTGGATTAGGACTGAGTGGAAAGCATTTATTTCCAATACTTGTCCCACACCATCCGTGTTTCTGAGATAACTTAGATTTATATAAATGTATATGCTGTGTCATGACATCCCAAGCATTAAACCTCCCACACTACATTTTTTATTGAAGTGTTTCAGGAATTAGAAGAACAAGCTGTACAATGTATTTACTGCCTTCTAGGAAGGAGATAAATGCTTTGTCTTGTAATTAATTACTACATTGTACTCATATGAGTAATTTTGCCATTGTTAAAAACAAAAGAAACTAAGGTTTCAAAATGAATAATGATGATTATTGTGTGGGAAACCTGAAACTTTCATTAGTTCAATCATGAACTATGAAAAGGGCTTCTCCAATTAAATTAAAACATTTAGAAGGCCTTGAATTATTCATGGATGCATGCACCCCAGTCATTACTTGTACCAATATCAGATTATAAATTTAAGTGAACCAATTGTCTTGCTTGTATAATTGAGCTAGAAAAATCAAGGTTTTATGTATATGCTCCTTTCTATATACTAGTAACCTCAAATATATCGAGAAGTCTTGTGACACCTTATAGACTAACAGATTTATTGGAGTATAAACTTTTGTGGGCAAAGAGGAAAGCCACAGGACTTCTTGTTGTTTATGCAGATTCAGACTAACACGGCTATCCCTATAATTACTCAAAAATAGGTGTCTATGCACAGTTGGGTTGTACGCAACAAAACAAAAACAACCCCACCCTTTAATGCTAAACCAATATACATATACAGACTCTACCAAGCAGGATCCCCTAGCTCAATCCTGTTCTACCTGCATGACAAAAATAGCTAAGAAAATGGCATGACTAGCTCCCAGGGAAAGTACTAGTCTCTCATCAATATATACTTATGTTATTACCTTAATATGCAGGGAGAAACTACAAAGCTACTTTTGAAGCCTCAGTCCTGCACTCATGTGTATATTTACTCCTGTGGGTGGTTCCTTTGATATTAATGGGGCTATTTATGTGCCTAAAATTAAGCCTGTGCATAAATGTTGTAGAACTGAGACCTCAATTTTTGATCTGGTTAGGTGCTGAGCACCTTCTCTGAAGTACTGAGTACCTTCAGCTCCCCTTTAAATCAATGGAGATACCCTATGCTATAGATTACTGAGCTATTGGCTTCCAATTCAACAAAGCACTCAAACACATGCTTTAAATGAATCAGAACTTTGGTGCTATACGATTTCATGCTTCAAACAGGCAGAGACTGAATTTAGAGGACACACTGGCTGAAACCACACACAGTCTGATATTAGGAGATCTGATGCTAAAGAGGCCAAAAATCTGAAAGAAAAAGACGCTACATACAACATATACAGTAAAACCAGCCAAGAATGACCATGCATGAGAGTTAGCAAAAGTGGTCTCTTATAAAAGATGGTTTCTTCTTTTAAGGTTTGCTCACTACAGAGTAGTTGTGTTCTTTGGTCTCTGTAAGCAATTGCTTGTGACAGGTAGGCCTCTCACATGTGGTCATCAAGGGAGGTTTTACTATAGTTTTTTCAAAATGCTTTCTAAAAAACGGACAATTTCAACTTTTCCATTAACATTTTAGGCCCAGAGAATAAAACATTAAAGGGACACTTTGATCATGAAACCTGTGCCTCAGATTCACAGGACCAGCTATGTTTAGGGCACATCTGGGTATCAGACATCTTTCTGTCTATCCCATCCAGAGGTCAGCAGATGAGATCCCTTTTAGAGCTATTGTACTTTATGCCAAGGGGCCATTATGGCAGCTGGTAATAAGGTTAATTAGTAGTTCATGGCTCCATTGCCTTCTCCCTGGCTATGCTCCCTATGTCAGCACTGGAGAGTTGTCATAGGAGCTGCAATTGTAACCCTACATTACTGGGGGGATTCCCTGACACTGAAGGATTTTCCAAGCATCTTACTAAATGGGCTTTATTTCTGCTTTGTGTGCAACAGCAGCATGAAGCACTCTTAAAAGTAAGTCTACACTGCAATTTTGGTGTAGGCCTGTGGCAGTCAATTTAGGCTAAGGAGTTTGGGCTCAGAGGCTGTTTAATTATGCAATACATGTTAAGGGCTCAGGCTTGAATCTGGCTCTCTGAAAGATGGGACGTCTATAAAGCAGTTAAACAGTCCCTTACCTCAAGCTTCATGAGCTTGAGTCAGCTGGTATGGGCAAACCAAGGGGTTTTACCTTCAGTATAGACATACCTTTAATGGCCTAGTGAATCTGTGATCATCTATTTTTTCAAAAAAATTCCTTCTGGTGCTACCTACCACCACAGAAAATTCAAACAGAAAGAATGTAAGAAATCCAATTTACTGGTAACTTTCTAGCTATTTGTTTGTTTTGTAATTTAACTGGCTTCCATAATTAATCTAGGCTGGTAAGTTTCACCTTTGATTTTAGTCTGTTTTACAAACCACGTCCACATTTTCAGAATTTTTCCAGTTAACACTGAAAAGAAACTGTTTAAAATACAGTTAAAATGACCCATCCCTGCTCCACAAAATGCTTATGAATAAATAGGAATCCTGCTTCTTTTTCCTAGCCCAGGCATTGCAGCTTTTCAAACAAGTCTCACATTTAGAGCTGAAATAAAATTGATAGTGTCCCTGTTTTCTTACGACACACTGATTTTAAGGATAAAGTTCCAGAAAACAATATTCTTTCAAAAATGCTTTTCAACATGAAAGCGCACTTGTAACAGGTAAAAGTTATCAAAGTTAAATGTTCTAAATGAAATGGTGAAAATTTCTTTTTATATATGTTGTCATGTCTCCTAACTTTTCCAGGATATACGAAGTTTAAAAGTGCATTGATTAAAACCATATGCATTTTCTAAATAAATAAAAACATTGTCGAAAGCATCCTCTCTGTGAGGTAGGGTTCAATACTTACAGTTCTTTTAAGTTTGTGAGTGTCCTAATAGCAATGGGGAACTCATCTAGACGGTTGTAATTTAAATCTCTGCATAAAAATATAGATAATATTTTTTAGGTTATACACTTTTTAAGGGACAACACAGAATTTGCTGGGATTTCTAAGGAAGTATCATCTTCCATACATTAAATAAAGAGGTCCAAAGGCTAGGTGAATCCTCAAAACCTGATGCTTTCTAATAAACTTCAACCAGTGCAGATCATCATTTTTATTTTTGATCACTGTGCTATTTTAAATTCTATGTTATTGATTTGGAAATGAGAAATCATGGACATTTATAAATGTTAATATAAGTCACCCCCTATTTTCTGAAATCCCTTCTTTGCCATCCGTTTGTAAGCATGAAAGGAAAAATCTATTATTACTTACAGAAAATTTTACAACTTATAAATAGAAATATTCTGGAAATTTTTCATCTTCAAACTGATTTATGAAATAATGTCGTTTATTATTATATGTCATTATTGAGGTTCAGTTTACCTCTTTTCCAACTCCCATCTCTATCATCTTTTAATTTTCTTTTCTGACCTGTTTCTTGGCACAGTATTTGAGAAAAAGACAGATAAATATTCAGGAACAGTAAAGGAGAAATGTCAGAGGAAAAAATAGTAGTTAGGTGCCCTCAATGAAGTCAATGGCAAAACTTCCAGTGATTTCAGTAGGGCCAGAATTTCACCTGTTCTGAGGTTTTAAGATTGCAGTAAGGTTGACACTACAATATGGAATAAAGGAGAAAGTACAACAACTCCTCACTACACAGAAGCCTAAATATTTTGTGTTTAGGTTAGCAATCTGGGATTCCATTGTAGCAACTGCTAGTTAGTGAGAAATTTCCTCATTTCAGCAAGTTCACTAGCCACTTGGCAAGCATGCACGTCATCTGAGACTAGAGTAGGGTTGCTAGGCATCTGGTTTTCAATCAGAATGCCTGGTTGAAAAGGAACCCTAGAGCAGTGGTCTCCAACCTTTTGGGGCTGCTGGGTGCCTGGGGGCAGGGCCGCGCATGTGCCGTGTGCTCGGGGTAGGGCTGCTCTTGTGCTGTGCGCCCGGGGGCAGCACCGTGCATGCACCATGCACCCAGGGCAGGGGCTGCGCATACACCGGGCACCCAGGGCCTGGGGCGCAAGAATGGCTTGGGCCGGCCCTGGTCACTTGGCGGGCGCACATAAATGCCCCGGTGGGTGCCAGGGCGCCCGCAGGCACCGCGTTGGGGACCACTGCCCTAGAGGCTCCAGTTAGCACTGCCGACAAGCTGCTAGAAGTCCTGTCAGAGATGCAGTGGTGCTAAGGCGGGCTTCCTGCCTGCCCTCTGGCTTTATGTGGCTCTCACAAGTGGCCAGCCTGGCCAGCTCTTATATATACAGGAGTGGCCATTGGGGCTTCACTCCCCGAGCTCCAGTTCCACGCTCCCATTGATGGGAACTGCGGCCAATGGGAACTGCAGGGGCAATGCCTGGCCCCTCTAGCATGTTGCCACTTCTGGGAGCCATGTGGAGCCAGGCCAGGGAGGAAACCTGCCTTAGCCCTGATGTGCCACTGACTGGGAGCTGCCTGAGATAAATGTCGCCTACCAGTAGCCTACATGCTGAACCCCCTCCTGCAGCCCAATTCCCTGCCCTAGGTTGAAACCTTTTCCAGTACCCTAACTCCAGCACAGAGCATGCACCCCAGAAACCCCCTCTGCGTGCCAAGACCCAGACCAGTCCTGAATCTCCCCGCTCCTGCACCCCAACCCCTGATCCCTGGCTCTGCCCCAGAGCCCATATCCTCTACCACACCTCAACCCCTGCTTTGTAAAGAATATATGTTTAATCATATAAATACAAAATAATTTGACTAAATTAAATAGAAACAATTATTCACAATTGACTTTTGAACAAAATATCATCATCCTTAGTAAAATGGGCAGGAAACTGCTGTCTGTAGTCAATAAGGCTTTTCTTCCTGTTTGTAAATCCCTTCAGGCCCTGTGCTTTGATTACATAGATAATGAGCATTTGTAATTTGGTTTGGCCCGCTAGTTGAGCCGGAGCTGCTGATACTGGGAAGAGGAGGATAACCCTCTGATGCCCAGTGCAGCCCAACATACCTTGACGCATACCAAAACAGCCTTTCTATTGATGGTCCTGCCAACCAGTTTTTCCTCCCTTACCTTCCAAGTTCAGAATCTTATTGTCAGGACTCCTGACAACAGAATACTCAAGTTCTAGTAGAGACTAGTTTATGTAATCAAAATTAAAATCCCTAATACTAGTGCAACTGGAAAAAAAGTGAGCACTGCATGTTTTTATGGGTTAGAAAGCAAACCACCACTAGGTTCTGAGGAGGGCTTATGCTTGTATGACAATGGTGGCGGCGGCCTGTGATATACATGAGGTTGGATCTCTCCAACTGTGGGTCAGGATCCCATAGTTGGCTGTGACCCCTTTTTTAATGGCTTCAGTCCCCTCTCCTGGTTCATGTAATTTTTTTTTGTCAGAAGGGGATTGTGGTGCAATGAAGGCAGAGGACCCTTGGACTAGATGATCTATTGGTCCCTGTGGCATGAAACTATGACATGTGTATCAGTAACAATTATAGGGTTGCCAGATGGTTTCAACAAAAATACCGGACACACTTGACATTACCTCACAATCTACATTACATCTTATTTAGAAAATACCGGACATTTATATTTCCTCATTTATATTTTCTCAATTTGCTTCCCGAACAGAAAGCTCAAATACTGGACTGTCCGGTACAAAACTGGACATCCGGCAACCCTAGCAACAAAGCATATGAGTTTCTTGAAGTGCCTTGGTTGATTATGATCCATGGAGAGGATTTACTTGGTTGTAGTACAGGAAAGGGAGGGGAATAGATATGCAAGCATTAATGTCCCTCAGGTAAGGGTTCCAATACCAAATACAGGTGGTGTTATTTGTGTATGTCTGGGGCAAATTACTTTTCTTTAATCTTCAGAGTTGTTTTCCTGTTGTTTTCCCATAATTGTTTTCACATGCTATTCAGGGAAGCCTTAGTTTTATTGTGTTCACCTCCTACACTTTACTGAACTATTGTGAGAGCTGAGATAATTTATCCCTTTTAGAGAAACTTTTCAAGTGAATTTTTTAAAGCAATTGGATCAATTTTTAAAAGAAGAACATATTTGTAAATTATGCTATCTGGAGCTTTTCTTTTGTTCAAGAGGTCAAAGGATTTGAATGCTACTGCAACCACAAAATGCAAAATGTCATAATGCATTCTGCAAACTTAAAAGCTATTGGGTTACAACGATTATCCTTAACCTCTATTGTAATTAGCTTTTCAGACTAAAGATAAATGAACAAATAGTACTACCCAGGCAGGAATAACCATACCTGAATGGTCACTTGTTGTTCTGTGCTGGTAAAGTTTAAAAACATCATTATATAATCTATTAATATATGTTGCCTAGTTAAAAAGCAGTGTAGTTTCATAACTGAAAAATAGGGTCACTGTACACAATCATGGAGTAATACAGTCATTGTAAACAATCACCCAGGGCCTGTAGCAATTAAGCAAGCCAAAAAGCATGTTTGGCTTTTAGGGTATTTTTATTCTTTCAGAATATTAATGAAAACACTGGGGAAAAAAAAAGGGAAACAAATAAGAGGTCAACTCACAAAGTCTCTAGGCTGTGGAGCCCATCAAAGCATTTCTTTCCCAGGGAGTAGATTCTATTGTTATGGAGATGCCTGCAGGGGAACATTAAGAGCACAGTCAGGAAAGCACACTGCACACAGTGGAGTTAAGCAAAACATTTTGATGGATAAATCAAAAGAAACGTATTTTCAGGCATGCACTGATTATATGCAAGCCATGCTTTTTGCAAGAGCATGTATAGGAGGCATTTCCCTCACCTCAAACCCCCCATCTCCCACACTTCAAGCCTTTGATTTGGTTCCATACAAGGATTTTGTGTTTAAACGGCAGAGATTGTGATTCTTTTCATTTAATGTATTTGTTTTCTTTCTTTAATTGACTTCACTGATGCTCTAGCTTGATTTCCTTTTAATTAAACTAGAATAATCAATAATTAATTTCTATTGGTATGTTATGTAATTCGCAGGATTTTCTGTTTGACTGTTTTGGGGTAGCCGTGTTAGTCTGTAACTTTAAAAACAACGAGTGGTCCTGTGGCAACTTAGGGCCCGGTCTACACTAGGACTTTATTTCAAAATTACCCCCCTAAGGTTGAATTTATAAGCAGAGCATCCACACTACCAAACCTGCTATTTTGAAATAACAGGCCACAGAATTTGAAATCTATACTCCTGCTTTTCATTAAGAATAATGCTAATTCCAAAATAATTATTTTGAAATAATGGTATTGTGGATGCTCCGGGGCCATTATTTCAAAACTAACCAATTAGCCCATCATAAGATGGGATTTTCAGGTCTCTCCTCCACGTCAGTCTTCTCTCCTGAGCCTCCGGTCTCTCACTCCACGTCTCTTTCTCTCTTCTCCTCCTACAAGCGGCCTTTTGGTCTCCCTGTGGCAGACCACGTGAGCGGTGCATAAGTCAGCCAAGTGCCACGGCGGGAGGCGAAGGGGGCGCGAAGGGGGGCAGGGCGGTGACGTACATGGCTAGGCCCCACCCCTTGGCCGTGTACATCACCGCCCCGCCCCCCTTTGCCTCCCGCCCTGGCCGCCCCTGGGTGTTCCCTCTGGGTGGTGCTGTTGCCTCCCATTGTGGTGCTTGGCTGACTTCTGTGCTGCTCAGCTGGACCACCGCGCGGGAGCAAGCGATGCAAATGGCCGTTTGGGCCCCCTGTTCTGCATGGGGACCGCGGAGCCCAAACAGCCGCTTGCACCGCTTGCTCCCCTGCCTGGCTGAATGGTGCAGAAGTCAGCCGAGCGCCACGGCGAGAGGCGAAGGATGTGACTCAGGCAACAGCGCCGCCCAGAGGGAACAGCCAGCATTTTAGCGTTACGGAGTCACAGACATTGGGCTACTATAAATATGGTAATTTGAACTAATTACTCCCCAGTGCTTCCTGGGGATCTCAGGCCATGGTAGTGTGTCCACGTTAATGAAGCCTGCCTCGGACTCATTTTGAGGCTTTTGTGGTGTGAACATGGTAGTTCGAATTTGTTAAATAGGGAGTTATTAAGTTGAATTTAGTAATTTTGAAATACTTTTCTAGTGTAGACATGACCTTAGAGACTAACAAACATACATATACAGTATTATCAAGCTCATCTGTGGTAGTGAGTGTTGCCTCTAAGGTGCCACAGGACTACTTGTTCTTTTTGTAGTGTCTGCCTTGAAACAAAACTGCAGATCTGAAAGTTTGGGACATTCAAAATTTGGCTTCATATTTTGCCGCTTACAACTATTTCTAAATTTTTAGATCTTAATAGATAAATTGCTCCGTGATGTTTATTAACGTGTATGGATTAACCTGGTGCATTTTTTTTTGAAGAAAATGCCTTCCATCTGACCTCTCTTTTCAATTTTACACGTTTCACTCGTCCCTTAAGGATAAGATAAATTGTGGGAGTTGCACATAAAAGAAGAGAATGTCTATGAATATGAGAGACAGACACTATTCTTATTTATGTTGTTGCTTTATCCAAAAGTATTTTAGTTATCACAAGCTTTCAATAAATGTTTCAGAACCTATAAAAACTGTATTCAGCTATTTATAGACTAACTAAAAGATAGAGATTTTTTGTATTGTACAAAAACATTTTTTGTACCACTTTAGGAAGAAAGTTTAATCATTAGGCTCTCAAATGCTAGATTGACCTTTTAGGATGTAGACAGTATGAAGAATTTGCCCCCAAACTCCCAATTAGCTTTACATCTTTAATGACTACAGGTCCAATCCTGCTCCCACTGAAGCTAATGTGAGTTTTCCTATTGACTTATGATTTGCAGCGCTGTAGATAGGGTATCAAAACATGTGGACAGAACCATACTAGGTGGTTTGGAGAGCCTGGAACAGTAGGTGTTGCCAATAGTTAGGGATGATTGAATACTAATAACTCTAAAGTCTTACAACCAGAAACAGGGATAATTAGCAGATGCAAAATGATGGGACCTAGTCAAGGAGCAGCACCTATTGCAGCAAGTGAAACTTATTTTTATGTTGTCTTACAACTGTCCTAAAATTTCAGCTGGGAAGTGGAGAAATTACTTTGGAGAACTGGAGCATGAGAGAATCTCTACCTTAACAAGTGATTGAGAACATGATGAAAATAATTGAGGGATATAGAAGTTAGGCCAAATAACAAATACCCATTCTCTTAAAGGTTAAAATCTCATACTGAAACTCAATCTGTACCCACACAGACTGCCCATGAGGCAGTAAATGGTAGTGTTTCTGAAAATGTTCCGAGGAATCGCTCTTAGAAACACATTAATTGGCTGCTCCGGTTTGTTTATTTACTGGCACTGCAGCCACAGAGCCTTGTGGCTCCCATTAGCTCCGTTTCATCCTTTGCAACCAAGGGGAGCCCCGGGAAGTGGCGTGGGTCAGGGCTCCCCTTGGCTGCAAAGGACGTAACGGAGTCAATGGGAGCCGCAGGGCTCCGTGGCTGCAGTGCCGGTAAATACACAAATGGGGGCAGCCAATTAATGTGTTTCTGAGAGTGATTCCGTGGAACACTTTCAGAAACACTGGTAAATGGAATTCCTTCTGCTTACCCTTCTACCTTGTACAAGTGTACGGCTCATATTTTGAACTTGCTAGAGATGAAGGATCATCTTATATGGTTGTGACACTCCAACACCCTGTATTAGGCACAATGGCATGATTATTATATGATTGTGACATAATAATGATACATTTTGTAGATGTGTCAAGTGAGGTAGCAATGGAAAAATAAAAGTTTACTCGGTATGATTATTTGATTTATATGTATATATCCATTTTTGTATCTGGAGTTTCTGAATATTAACTATGTAAAGTGCCTGCATCTAGGTAACACCCACAAAATGTTAGTCAGGCCCGCACTTCATGAATGGTCTATTAAAGTTGAATGGCCCATCAAAAAAAGCAGTGGGCTATGGAAATGGCTTAACCTGTCCTGGTGAAGCTTCATTCAGCCTATGGATAATGGCTGCCATGACTCATTGGTGCACATAGGGGCATGACTAGATCACATGATACTGAACTATCTTTTGGTATGTGCATTTTCCCACAAACTGGGCTAGGAATTTGGCTTGGAACAAAGGGTTTCCCGCCATATGGAATAAGCTATAAAAGGGGGAAATGACATCACCCAGAAGTCTCACTCCCCACACGACAGAATGCCTGGTAACACAGACAGAATGGGGGGGAAGTGCTGGTCTCTGGTGGGGAAAAAAGAATTCCTCTCTGTGTATGGAAGGTTGGTGAACTGTTTATTCTATCTAATAGAGTAAGACATTGCTCAATATAAATCCTAACTTAGATTTCATTTTTGTTTAGCTTCCTAGGTAATCTGCTTTGATCTGTACAGTCACTACTTACAATCATTTAAAATCTATCTTTCTGTAGTATTCTGTAGTAATAAATCTGCTTTATATTTTTTACCTAAAACAGTGTGGTTTGCTTGAAGTGCATGGAGAATCCACTCAGGAAGAGGGGCTGAGGCACTGTCTTCTCCACATCAGTATAGGGGCAGACTGGGTAATAAATGTATATTGGTCAGACATTTGACTGGGGAAAGACAGTACAGCTCTGGTGTCCTAGGCCATGGAGTTGGAGAGGGAGGCATCTCATTGGAGGCACTCCATTGTCATTTCATGAGTAGAGGAGAAGAAGTTTTCATGTAACTGCAGCTGGGTGTGTCCCTTCCTGTGAGTGTCTGTGTGAGTACATCGCCTGGAGACAACTGTAGCTTGTCACAGCATCATAGGATGAGAGAGAGCCCAGACTGGTGAGATAGAGGGCCAAGTAATACCCCAGTTCCAGGTTGTACCCTGAAACTGGCAGACTGGTCGCCTATAATAAATAGTGCTGAAGTAATCTGATCATAGGCTCCGTCTAGACGACATGGTTCCTTTGACAGAGCCATGTAAAATAGTTTATTCAGCATAGTCAAAGAAGTGGGGATTTGACTATGCTGAATAAACTATTTTACATGGCTCTGTCAAAGGAACCATGTCGTCTAAAGGCTTGTATCATGAGGATCAGATCAGTGTGTTAAGAGTATGTTAAAATATATTTGTCATCTTACATGCAATGGTTTCATGATGTCTACAAACCAGGAATGTCTTTAATAATGACCATGTTTCAGTATATCTTGAAATAATTCCTGAATAATTTTTCTAATAATAGTGCAGAAGTTTTTTTCAGTTTGAGATAGTTCCAGGAGATCCGAAGATGGTTCTTCACACACTGGAATTTCTTCCAGGATTTTCAGTGAATTTTGCATCTGTTTTGTTTAGTAATATTGGTAGAAGAACATATCTACTGATAACTCTGCATATACTGTCTGTGAAGGGAACTTTCACATCTCATACTTACTAGCATTTTAGCCTTCCAGTCCTTTGTTTAGCAGATTTTAGTTATTTTCCTTTTTCACCCACAGCCTCATGTTGTCAATATGGTTTTACAGTCTTAAGTAAAAATGTGTACACATTTCAACAGCTTCCCAGAACTATGATTTTATAAACAATATCTAAAGGTACGTCTACAGTGCACTCTTAGGGTATGTCTACACTAGCCTCCTAGTTTGATCTAGGGAGGCTAATGAGGGCGACCAAAATTGCAAATGAAGCTTGGGATTTAAATATCCTGTGCCTCATTAGCATGTTCCCGGTCAGTTGCCATTTTAGAAATTGACTAGCCCGAAGTAACGGCCTGCGTCTACACGCGGCAGTGAAATGGGATTCCGAATTAAAGCCCTAAATCGAATTAGCTGGTAAACTACATTGCAGGAGGAATACCAGCTAATTCGATTTAGTGCTTTAATTCAGAATCCTGTTTCACTGCCGCGTGTAGACGCAGGCCGTTACTTCGGGCTAGTCAATTTCTAAAATGGCAATCCCACGCTTCATTTGCAATTTTGGTCACCCTCATTAGCCTTCCTAGATTGAACTAGGGGGCTAGTGTAGACAGACCCTTATTTCAGGTCGGACCCCGTGCCGCGAGGCGTACAGCTAGTTTGGATAGGAAGCCTAATCCAAACTAGCTAGTCCGTGCCGCGTGTAGCCGCGCGGCACGGGGTCCGAACTAGCCGGCATTTAAAAATGGCGCCGGCCGGCTTTATGCAAATGAAGCCCGGGAAATTCAAATCCCGGGCTTCATTTGCAACTCCGTATGACTACATTACCCCCCTAGTTCGAACTAGGGGGGTAGTGTAGACATACCCTAAGATACAAAATTCAAGTTTTTTCAACTTATCTCTTCACTGACATTTTGAAGAGAAGTTTATTTGCCATTAATTCTCTGAATCATTATAAATAAACCTATATGAAAGCCAAATCTTTACATTATGTGGAGTAGAAAAATCATTTAGTAAAGTTGCGAAAGTTATAGCTTTAAACACAGTGCAATAATAAAAGGCAAATTTCAGGTTTATAACCCAACCTGAAGGTTTACAGATCATTTCATATTTTTGGGCAGTCTAGTTATTAAATATCTCGTACAAGGCTTAATTTGGACATTGCATCTTGAAATAATTTAGTACAAAGAGGCCAAGATCTTTCAAAACAATTTTTTTTAAATCAATAAAACTTACAGAACTACCAGACTGGAGAGGTTTCCAAAAGCATAGTCTGGTATGTGATGTATTTTGTTCAATGCCAATGTCATTGCTTGAAGTGCTGGTAAACTCTGAAAAGCCTGCACAGGAATTTCTGTCAAAGAGTTGTCATCCAGCCACAAGTGTCTAAGCGAGACCAAGCCACTGAAGCAGTTGGGTGGCACGTAGTTGATGTGGTTGGCATCCAGGCGTCTAAAAACCCAGAAATGTAGAATATTGATCTTGAGAAACATGTAAGGAATTGACACAATAGACCTAACAGGATATTGTCAAGTACACTGTACTTCAAAGGGGAAACTAAGGGAAAAGGTCATTGCATCCCTTGTTGCTGCTCTGGAGATAACCACACTTCCTTCTATTTTACATTCTGGTCCTTGAGTCCCCACCCTATGCTCAATATTATTCTAGTCAATATCTAAACCAGATTCACTTTGAAGCCTTCAGTGTGACCCTTCTATGGATTGAAGGGGTCATTTTTGAATGGTTCACAACACTCCTCCATGGGCTGAGCAATTTTCCCTTAGCTCTGAGTCACTTTAAGGGGTTAAAAGTAGGTAAGAAGTTCCTTATTTTTATATCTCTAGGTCATGGGATTGTTTTCATGCAACTGAAAGAAGTGTTTGTCTCTCCATAGTTTCAGTATCACCTTAAAATCCTGAAAAGTAAATTTACTTCTGACTAATTGTATCTATTACACTTTGTGAAATATTGGTTGTTCCTGCAGTTCTACTGAAGGCTCAAGTTAATGTGTCATTTTGGGGAAGAGACAAATTCATTTTATTTTGCACTAGCATTACCAATGAACTGGTTTCATCTGCAGAAAAAGGCAGAAGCAGTTTGGTTGCGGCAGCACTAACACAAGGATAACAACTGTACAATAGACTACATGTTTTTCTTTGGACTCTAATGGCCTCATTGTGATCATACGCTGGTGTAAGGCAGGAATAATCAATGCAGTTTCAAGGGTGTAAATACATCAGAGATAGAATCAGGCCCTTTATAATCAATGGTTTAAAATTACTTCTGTTTCTTTTTCTTGACACAGCCCAATTGAAAGAACACATCGATTTTCTGAAATGTCAGGAAACATATATGTGATCTATATGCATATATCATAACTTTTCTATGTTTCTACTTGCTTCAAATCCATTTTAGTGACTTTGCACACTTGTTTGCACTACAAAAGTAATTATTTAGCACAGTTTACAGGATGTTATTAAAAGGACGTGGAAGTGAATTTTCAAAAGCATGTTTGAAAACATTACACAACACACAGATGCACCCTGAGTGTAAGGAGATAATCCTTCAAAACCCAAACTGGGTCCTTTGAGAGAAGAAGAATGAATATTCTTTTTGGTAGGCATACTAATCTCTTTATTCAGAGCTGTTTCCACACACAGTCATGTAAAATATTTGGTCCATTCTGTCTCCTACTCCATACTACATCTACCTACTGCATTAGAACCAATAATGAATTCTAAGGCGCCAGATTGGCAAATAACTGAGACAAGGTCAGTTGGAACAAATTTATAAAGTTCAGTGTCAAAGCTCTTGTTCAATTACATTTTCACTATAATAACTGACATGGCAAGGGTCTGTCAACAATGGGTGAGGTTGGAAATGTTTAGTAATACTCATGCTGTGCCTCCCCGACTCTCTGAGCAACAACATACTTTGCCTGTGTTTTCAAATAAGGTATAATTGGAGTGAATAGATTATGTTTCTTTGTGTTTGGTTAGAAGTAAATTTCTTGTCTGCATGATGTCTGTATGTAAACTAAGGAGTTGTAGTTGCAATAGTTTGACAGTTACACTGATTACAGAATGGAGGCTTTATTCAATTCGAATGTGTTACGGTATTGCAATTAACATCTTGTCTCATGTGGGGTCTTTGGTTGCAGCTCCAACTCATGTGTTGACTCCAAAAGGGCTATACACACAAGGGCTGAAGGATAGGGCAAGTTGTTGTAGGTAGAGGGTATTTAGGTATAGTTGTTAGGTATAGGGAGTTTTAGATGATACAGAAACTATGGGTGAAATCCTGGCTGCACTGATATTAATCGAGTATTTTCAATGATTTCAGTGGGATCAGGATTTCATCCTCCACATATTTTATAAAAAATTTAGAAATTGAGTTAGTTGAAATAATAAATACCCAAATTTAAATGTTATTGTCCTCTACATGTCTCTGTATGCAGTCATAAGTAATGGTGGCCGGAAGCTAAGAGAATTATTGTTTCAATATAACTTTATGGCAAAGAAAGAAACTACTCTGGCTTGTATTATACAGTATGTAATGTAGTTGCAGTTCCTAGTGTTCTTGAAATGTATGACCACATTTTCTTCTTTGTTATCTATCTACTTTTTAAAAAAACCCTGAGCATCATTTTCCTACTTGCAGATAATAAAACATTTTATTAGTGGTTATGTTTCCTGGATTAATATAAATATTCTATGCTGAGATATAAAACAAAAAAAATAATTTCAGTCAATTTTTTACTTGTGTGGATCAAGTTTTGGTACTTTCAGAATTAAACCCATTAACTCACAAACATGATTTTACTTATAATTTAAAATATATAGTTAATATTAGTCAGTTTAAAAATTCTATTATATTAAAAAAAAAACAATTTAGAGATACAAAAATTACTTGATCTCCTCTGATAGGCAGCCTATAAAATGACATCCAGCATATTTATCATGACTTTGTGAATGCTTAAATTATGCAGGTTGTAGTCCAATACAGTCATTTGTAACATAGTGTGTATGCTCTGATCATATGTTTTGCAGTTCATGAAAAGATAGTATTCATGCAAAATTGTAAAAGTTGATAAAATAAATGGGATGACTCTTATGTTTAGAAATAAAACACTAATTTCTTCCATAAATACTACTGGTACTCTGGACAACAGTCAGCATATACAGGGTCTGGACATGGGCATAGTTTTACTGCTATTTTTGGGGGAGGCAGTTCCAGTCAGACCAATGGGGTCATATTTGGGGGGTAAGGGAAGCAAATTCCATGCTTGTCCAAGAATTGTTGTTGCTGGGGCAATGCCCTTTGTTCCCCCATACTATGCCCATGTATCTGGGACAAGATCAGACTGCTCTATCACTATGGTTAATGTTGTATTTCCACGTCTGTTTAAAAGATGGCCTTTCTAAGTCCTCTAAGTAAGATAAACATGCTTAGTTGGATTCCTTTGAAAATTGGCATGCCTCAGAAGAGTACAATTTAGGGGTAATGACCCAAATTTTAGGTAATTTGAGATAGGGTTTGTGGAGTTACAAACTCCCTCAAAAATAGCCATTTTCAGAAAAGCTTTAAGGTGAGTTTTTTGTTCTGTTTTTTGCTTTGCATAGAGCTAGAGATTAAATTATGGATGTGATGTGGGTCAAAATAGTCTAATTCTATAAAACGTTATTCAAGGTAATGCATGGAACTCATAAATCTTTGGGAGACCTAAAATCAGAACAGTATTCAAGAAAATGTACCATTTTTTCAATGCACAAGTGTCAATACAGACAAATGGCTAGAGCGGGTTCCTATTCCTAATAGTCTATATGCTTTAAACTTCAACTCTTTTAAGTACTCTAAACGGGTACTTGAACTGCTTTGGAATCTCGTGTGACTCATAGGTTATAGCATATCATTAATGATCCAACTTTAGAGTCATTTGATCAAGGTGTTCCTGAGGTACAGTCCCCTACCCCAAAAGAGTTTCCTTCTGCTGCCTTGTATTGTTCCATTGAGAGCTACTAATGACTGGAGAAATCAAAGACCTTAGTAAGATTGATGATTGTGAGTTCACCCTTCAATTAACACAAATAAGGATAAATGAATCACAAGCCCCCACCTAAGACAAAAGGCATTTGGGGCTGAGTGATGGGATGCCCCCTCCCACTCTCCTCATATGACCTGTGTTCAGGAGGGCCTTGTATTGTTCCATTGAGAGCTACTAATGACTGGAGAAATCAAAGACCTTAGTAAGATTGATGATTGTGAGTTCACCCTTCAATTAACACAAATAAGGATAAATGAATCACAAGCCCCCACCTAAGACAAAAGGCATTTGGGGCTGAGTGATGGGATGCCCCCTCCCACTCTCCTCATATGACCTGTGTTCAGGAGGGCT